TTATCGTGATATGATACAATCTTGATCGTACGGTTGCAACACCATAGACATTATGCATACCTTGACAGAAGAGTCGCAGCACTATACAACTCAGTCCTGAGGTCATCGCTGACGATGCATGTCAATCATAAGGTCGTAATACGATACATATCTCAATGGTAAGGTCTACAGCACAATACAATACAGATCTCAAGGTCTCAAAGCAATACAGGTCGTAAGGTCATAATACGATACATATCTCAATCGTAAGGTCACATAGCAAAGCAATACAGATCTCAATCGTAAGGTCATAATACGATACATATCTCAATCGTAAGGTCACAAAGCAATACAGATATCTATTGTAAGGTCACAATACAATACCTGTCTGTATTATAAGGTCACAATACAATACACACCTCTATCATAAGGTCACAATGCACATCTCAATCCTAAGGTCATCGTACACTATCATCTCAAGTGATAAGGCCGCAATACAATACATATCTCAATTGTAAGGCCACACGCTGATGATTTTTTCCAAGCGTAAAGTCGCAGTGCATTATGCATCTAAATATTCCAGTAAAATATGATACCCTATATGCCACAAAAAAAACAGGAGCACCGTTCAGAACATCTAGTCCTTCACCATAAAGGCCATCAGTTGAAAACATATCATATCATATCATATCTCAGACACTGTTTTCGTCCATTAGACAGTGAATTAGTTAGGTGTTTGCAGCGCTTTTAGCAACATTCCACCAATATCACAGTGGGAGGACACAGAAAAAACTGGCTTTACACAATGGTCTCCTGTAGGGAATGAAACCAGGCCTTCTGCATTACAAACAAACTTTCCAACAACTGGGCCAATTGTTTCAAAAGGTTACCACCTATTATAACGTACCAGTACAGAATTCACAAAATATTATTTGGAGCAACAGTATGTTGACAGAGAACGTCATATAAAATCAAGATTCTGTTACATGTACAATCACAATATCATAGTAATACTACCATTTGGAGCCCATCTCCTACACAATATCATAGTAATACTACCATTTGGAGCCTATCTCCTACACAATATAACATTATGAACACACATGTAGGTATATTGAAAACTTCTATATTGAAAACCTTCCTCTAAAACGTACCCAAAAGCATAAATATCATTTGTAAAACCCTATGAACATGTTCAAGGTAGATTGATCTGTATGAACACATGGTCCAGGTAGATTCACCTGTGTGAACACATGGTCCAGGTAGATTCAGCTGTATGAACACATGGTCCAGGTAGATTCACCTGTGTGAACACATGGTCCAGGTAGATTCACCTGTGTAAACACATGGTCCAGGTAGATTCAGCTGTATGAACTCATGGTCCAGGTAGATACATCTGTATGAACACATGGTCCAGGTAGATACACCTGTGTGAACACATGGTCCAGGTAGATTCATCTGTGTAAACACATGGTCCAGGTAGATTCACCTGTGTGAATACACGGTCCAGGTAGATTCATCTGTGTGAACACATGGTCCAGGTAGATTCAGCTGTGTGAACACATGGTCCAGGTAGATTCACCTGTGTGAACACATGGTCCAGGTAGATTCAGCTGTGTGAACACATGGTCCAGGTAGAATCACATGTATATCTACAGCTACATCACTGAGTATCACAGCAAACATGTAAACTATTCTGGTTGTGTAGTCCTAAAAATGAGAATAAATACTACTCAACCTTCCAAAAGGATAATCTAATAATCCATCATACTTCAAACTCATATTTGTTACCAATGCATTTTAAATTTGAATGTACTTCATTCAAAACAATATCAAAAGGTGGGTAGGATTATATTAGCAGTATTTTAAAGCTCAAAATATGATGATAAATATTTTCATTAATATTACGATTGACTTGTCCACAGATGAAAGGAATGTCTTTCTCAAGAGTTACCTCCATTCAAAGTTTCAACACTTGGGGCAGTGGCTAAAAACTGGATGTCGACATATTGGAACATCTGCTACAAAATCAACACAATATCCATCCTCTCTGCGTGTGACAACCCAAGTCTCAGGCACACAATAATCTAAGCTGACTTTCAAAATGTCAATAATCACAGTATAATCACAGTATAAACACGTGCAGCCACTACAGGCATCATTATCTTACCTTCATGTAAAATACTTTAATTTTATTGGTCAATGACGCTTTAACAAGTTTCCGTGTCTCCCTCCCAGGAGGGTAACCGCCAAACTCTCCACCGAGAAGCTGTATCTCTAACAATCGTATGACGTCATAATATGACGCATGCAATGCCCGGAGTTCGAAAACCGTTTGATTAGTTGTTTTTGAGTTCACTATTTAGACCTTTATTTTCACCGAATTTCACTGCTTTATTCAATCTATTTTATACATTGAATCATTTGCACAATCAACTTAAACATAATTAACCATTTTTATAGCAGTGTTAACCTTGTCAGAAGATGTTTCACTGATCTTAAAAATCCAGTTGAGAGGCAGACGACATTTTGTTTACATGTCATATTTTTGGTAGTGATCTTCCAAATAAAATATAATTGGAAATTTTAATATAAATTGTATATTTATATACTTATCCTATCTCACGACTTGCACCTCTCTCTCTTTCTTCGACTTTTAGTGGAACGACTGTTAACTTTTTTCCATAGGCCTCCTTGTCCATTTGCCCATGCACTCCATGCTGCTCTCCTTACTTAGCTTCCTTGTTGGTAGAAGGATTATATCTGGGAGTAGAGAATCCGTCCTTAATTCGTTTCAGGCTCTTGAAACCATCATTTAGTGTACTGGATAATTTCAGAATACAAGGTTGAGGTGGTAGGGTGATGGTAGACCAATCCCGGTTCCTAAGAGTATAAGAGTGATCGAGGTCATCTGCTGAAGTACTCAAGGGAAGTTGGAGCTTCTCAACAATCCAAAGGAGTACCTGAGGTGTCTCAACTGCTGCAAAGCTACCCCCAGGATGAGTAGATAACTCAGAGTGAGCGGGAGATGCAGGCATGGCTAGTTGGACTGGATCAATCTCAGGAGGTGGACCAGATGAAGAGCCAGGAGCTACTGAAGTCGGATGGGCTGGAGTAGAAGGCTGTATTTGGTTCCAGGCTGAGGTTATGGCCCTGATCATCATAGTTAGATCCGGAGTCGCTGTAGGAGTGGGATTGTTATCAGGTTCCCATGACTCAGCGATGATCCTAGAGTGAGTCGAAGGATTCTCAGAGCATGTAGACGGAACATCATAAGAGACCGTAGGCCTATTAGTGGTATCAGAGCAATGATTACCCAAACGTCGGTCAGAGGAACTGTATCGAGATCTCGACGTGGTAAGTACTGAAGTAGGTTGGTAAGCCGGTGATCTGGATTCCCTAGTATGGCTAGGTGATCTGGTATGATATGAAGAACTAGTCCGGGTCGCTGTAGTTCCAGTTGGTGATCTGGTTCTGATTTGAGCTCTGGTTCGACCATCTGAATAGGATCGGCCATGAGATGTGGATCTGTACTGCGATCCTGATGGGTCAATGGCTCTGTAAGGTGATCTAGATCGTATAGGTGACCTGGGTTGGTAAGATGATCTGGATTTGTAAAGTGATCTGGATCGATTCGATGCACTAACTGGAAACTGTGATCGTGATCTGGATCTATAAGGTGATCTGCTTTGCAGTTGCGATCTGGCTTGATTTGGTGATCTGGATCGGTTAGGTGACCCAGATCGGTCCGGTGATCTGATTCGAAGTTGTGATCTGGATCGATTAGGTGATCTGGATCGGTCTGATGATCTACTTTGATGTTGTGATCTGGATCGGTTCAGTGATCTGGATCGGCTAGGTGATCTGGATCTGTCCGGTGATCTGATTCGAAGTTGTGATCTGGACCCGTTTGGTGATCTGGATCGGTTTGGTGATCTGGATTGATCAGGTGATGTGGATCGTAGTTGTGCTCTGGATCGTGACTGTGATCTGGATCGATCTGGTGATCTTGATCGGCACGGTGATCTAGATTGGGCTTGTGATGGTGATCTGGATCATGAAGGTGATCTAGAATGTTGTGGTGATCTAGAATGATGTGGCGATCTGGATCTGCGATTAGGTGACAAAACCTGAAGTGTTGATTAATGATGAACGTCCCCCAGCGACGCTGTTGTAGCCAGCTCCGTCTGGTTCAATGAACTGTAGGGAGACAGTTGGCTGGTTGAATGCGGTTGAGACAGTCGAGGGGATATGTACCGATGATCTGGATGATGATAGTGTCGATCTAAGGTCCCCTGGTAGTGTAGATGGGACAGGCACAAAGAATTATCGATCACAACCACCCGCGAGTGATCTGACACTATGGAAGGAGGTGATTGATGCGTACCTAATAGGTGCCGAACTTCCTCAGATGAGTAAGAATCTGATGAAGCGTCCATAAAATCCTCTTGAACCACAGACGTAGCTCTCTTTCGTGAAGGTACGATTTTCTGTCACTGTAACTTGATACGCTTGGCAGGAGTGGGATCAGATTCTGTTGATTTCCTGTCCCTATCGGCGATTCTCCGGGAGCAAACATGAAGGTAGGCCTTAAAATCCTCATCTTTTAGTGAATTACACTTGCCACATTGTTTGTTCCAGTTACATTGTCCAATACAGTCACTGCAAGACGAGGGACGAATAATTTGTCTTGCATTGAGCACAAACTTTCCTTTTCCTTGACTGATTATCAGTCTTCCCCATGATGGTAGGGTGAAATAATGTCACTAATATACAGCATGTCCACACAGTCGTGCGACAAGAAAGAGAATAATCATTCAAGGTAGTCACGTGGGCAATTAGTGGAGCATGCTGCAAGCTTTATTAGGAACTAGGAAGCTAATTAAGGAGAGCAGCATGGAGTGCATGAGCGAATGGACAAGGGGGCCTATGGAAAAAAGTTTACAGTCGTTCCACTAAAAGTCGAAGCAAGAGAGAGAGGTGAAAGTCATGAGATAGGATAAGTTTAAAAATTGATATTTTGTACATTTAACATGACGGTAAGATAAATACATTGTATGCTTCTCCTTCGGGTTATACAGTCTGATGTACGCCTCATTGTAGCAGGCGTGCATCAGACCATATAACCCTCGAGAGAAGCATACAACTTATATAAACATGTACTCTGAAGACCTGCACACAATCTGGAGTGACATGGCAGCCCCAGTCAAGTAACTGGATTTGGAGGTGAGAAGTGTGCCACTGTCCATATCACAGATGGCCAACCATAGCACTCAGATCAATATCAGCTCTAGCAGCATGGCTGTCAGATTTCAGATGTGGTCTCTATCTCTGATGTGTAGCAGATCTCTGATGTGGAGTCATATCTCTGATGTGTAGCAGATCTCTGATGTGGAGTCATATCTCTGATGTGTAGCACATCTCTGATGTGGAGTCATATCTCTGATGTGTAGCAGATCTCTGATGTGTAGCAGATCTCTAGAGTGTAGCAGATCTCTGATGTGGAGTCATATCTCCGATGTGGAGTCTTAGCTCAGATGTGAGAAGTGGAGCCAGATCTCGGGAGTGGAGACAGATCTTGGTGTGGACCCTATTCATGAGTCCATAGTTGACTTCATGAATGGCATTTCTGACTTCATTACTAACACAAACTGACTTCAGATTTCCCAGCTAAAAAGGGGGAATGAGATAACAATAGTTGTGACATTGAGATAAAAATAAAAACCTTGAGAGAAAAACATCCAATAAAAATGACATAAAATCTCTTGTGGAAAATAGCACTCATAAGATCTAGGTGAATATGGTGGTCATTGGTCTCGCTTGGTGAATGTGGCAAGAATCTCTCCTTTTGGACCTGAAACTGGCAGCCATTTCTGTGACCATTCCTGGTTGTCTTGGAGACACCATTGATAAGCTCCCATTATCTTGTTAATGGTGGACTGAAACAGTGTAGATAATTATGGTGAGTGATTGTTAAAATATTTATTCTCTAACTTTTAACAAAACAACTACAGCAGATGGAAGCATCTTTGATCAATGGTTGAAGTTGTTCTTATTCCAGCCTACAGTGTGTATTTGAACAGCATCCTCATTTACACCTAGTGTTTCCCCTGGACACTTTTAGCAGGGCTCAGCACCCTACCCATTTTATGTAGTGCCCTGTCCCATCTATTTGCTGCCCTGCCTTTCTTTTAATACAATAATTGATATTAACACTTGGTGGTTTTTAGTTTCTATTTCATGTTGAAGTTCAGTGAAATAACTGTGTTCTGTGAGACTTGAACTCACAGTTGAAGAATCATTGAATAACTTAACATTATACTTAGAAATCTGTCAGTGCATGCCCTCATTGCAATATGGGTGCCGCTTTTCAAATTCTGTTGCCCTGCCCTTGTTGGATCCTGGGAGAACACTAACACCACACTACTCTGATGGTGAGTGTATAACGTGAGCAGGTGCTGGGTATTTATCAAATCCTGACAGATACACTGGATAAACCAGAACGGCCCGGATGGTTCTTACCTTGATGATGTCCCAGACTAGTCTCTGACCCAGACATCCCCGGGGGCCAGCCCCGAAGCAGAACAGCTTGCTCTTCATGTCAGCAGAACTACAGGTAGAATGCATGGAACATTGAGAACATACAGAACTACAGGTAGAACACATGCATCATTTAGAACATACAGAACTACAGGTAGAATGCATAGAACATACAGAACTACAGGTAGAATGCATGGAACATTGAGAACATACAGAACTACAGGTAGAACACATGGAACATTGAGAACATACAGAACAACAGGTAGAATGCATGGAACATTTAGAACATACAGAACTACAGGTAGAATGCATGGAACATTGAGAACATACAGAACTACAGGTAGAACACATGCATCATTTAGAACATACAGAACTACAGGTAGAATGCATAGAACATACAGGACAACAGGTAAAACACATGCAACATTTAGAACATACAGAACTACAGGTAGAACACATGGAACCTTTAGAACATACAGAACTACAGGTAGAATGCAGAGAACATTTAGAACATACAGGACAACAGGTAGAACACATGCAACATTTAGAACATACAGAATTACAAGTAGAACACATGCATCATTTAGAACATACAGAATTACAGGTAGAATGCATAGAACATACAGGACAACAGGTAGAACACATGCAACATTTAGAACATACAAAACAACAGGTAGAGTGAGTGAGTGAGTTGAACAAAAGACAGGATGACCTGATGACAACTTATGTGGTAATGAAGGCATCAGATTCTCACCAGTTTGTCCACCGCTCGGGAAGGAATTCTTCCGGAGATTCAAATACAGCTGGGTCTCGGTGAGCAGCAAAGGTCATAAACACCACAGCATGATCCTTGGGGACCAAGTACCCATCAATCTCATAGTCCTGCCGACAGCATCAACAACGGCAGCATCAACATCATTGTTAATACACTTAGACACAAGCACAAAGGGCAATAACTCAATCACACTCACAGGCCTGGACATATAGGAAGAAGCTAATTCTCCTCCAAACTCCCATGTTATTTTTAAATCTCATGGGCCAGATAATCTCGGGCACAAGGTCAGGATAAACAAGGGCCATAACTCGCATCGCACACCTTCTTATGAACAGGTTTAAGAGATATCAATCCTCACAATTAATTAAAAAACGTAAATTTACATTTGATATCAAAAGTTGAAAAGACATGACAATCTCACCCTATTGTCTTTTGATATCAGAGATAACCATTGTCATTGGATTGTTACATCAGGATAACATGTGATATCATGTTATAATACTAAATACATAAAACTTGACATAAACTTTTTAATATAGGCTGCAAATTCATTGACTTCCTTAATTTCAAAGGATGTTTGAACAAGTTTCATTGAGATGATTTTATACAGGAATGGAGACTGACTTGCGTGACAATACGGCGTCCTCCAAGAAAAGCAGGGTAGAGACGTTGAACCTCCAGAAACATAGCGTCCATGAAGTCAGGATTGGATAGGCATTCCGTCTGCCAGGATAGCTGCCAAAGGTCAAGGTCATGTAAAAGATAATAATAAACCTTGTATTGTTTAGTCATCAATAACCTCTGAATAATAATAACAAACAGCAATCCTTCTGTTTATTATATTATTGTCTTCCTTAACAATCTGTAAAGTAACTATGATTTCCAGATTATCATCCATTACATCAAGTCGGTCACAGACCATGTGAGTTTTCATCTCCGGATGTCCTGATTTCTGGTGTCAGGTTTCTGCATTTCAAACCAAAGTTTGCTTTGTTTGTCATATAATAATAATAATATCCCAACTACACGACATCAGTTTGTAAAATAAATACAACAGTCTGAACGGACAACCAGTGACTGATATCATGAGCATAGATCTATGGACACGGACTATGATGCATCAACAAAGTCAGCGAGTCTGACCACTCAAACCTGTTTGTCAGCTCCAACTAACAGGGTTCCTCCAAGAGTAAGTCCAAGCTTTTGTGAAATATGACCTTGACCTTGACCTCCAAGTAATCAACTCTCCTGTCACAGTGTACATTGTCCCTATGATTGCTTATCTGTAACAGTTAAAGGAATGTAGACATTGTCTGCATAAAACATCAATGGGTAGTTGTGTACCTTGTCCTTCTGCCCAACCTCCACAGCAAAGGAGGTCAAGATGGAGGCCAGCGCCTTCGGGACGAGAGCAGACGTGAAAAGCAGGAGATGGTTGTTGATGAAGGTGTCATCATGTACTGCTGGGTCTTGAGCAATGGTGGACATGTGTTGCGGGAAGCTCTTGTCGGTCTTCACTCGTCTTTCCTTGATGACTTCTAGCAGTTTTTTCTGCATTGATAGAAAAACAAATATATACAAAGCCTCTAAAGAGTGAAAAGGTACTAGTTGTTGTACTAGAACTTCATTCCTCGTATTTCTGGGAATCAATGAGACATATATCTCATCTGCCAGCCTCACTGAGGAGATACCCCACCTTTACAAGGGTGGTTCTAGCTATTAAGGCTAAGGAGAGGCAGTCACCTTATCAACCAGAGCCTTACTGAGGAGATACCCATCGGGGTACAGGTATGATTCTACTACAACCTGAGTGTGAGGGGCTCACCTTAGCATCCAGAGCCTTACTGAGGAGATACCCATCAGGGGGCAGGTATGATTCTACTACAACCTGAGTGTGAGGGGCTCACCTTAGCATCCAGAGCCTTACTGAGGAGATACCCATCGGGGTACAGGTATGATTCTACTACAACCTGAGTGTGAGGGGCTCACCTTAGCATCCAGAGCCTTACTGAGGAGATACCCATCAGGGGGCAGGTATGATTCTACTACAACCTGAGTGTGAGGGGCTCACCTTAGCATCCAGAGCCTTACTGAGGAGATACCCATCGGGGGGCAGGTATGATTCTACTACAACCTGAGTGTGAGGGGCTCACCTTAGCATCCAGAGCCTTACTGAGGAGATACCCATCGGGGGCAGGTATGATTCTACTACAACCTGAGTGTGAGGAGCTCACCTTAGCATCCAGAGCCTTGCTGAGGAGATACCCATCGGGGGCAGGTATGATTCTACTACAACCTAAATGAGAGGGGCTCACCTTAGCATCCAGAGCCTTACTGAGGAGATACCCATCGGGGGGCAGGTATGACTCTACTACAACCTGAGTGTGAGGGGCTCACCTTATCAACCAGAGCCTTACTGAGGAGATACCCATCGGGGGGCAGGTATGATCCTACTACAACCTGAGTGTCAGGGGCTCACCTTAGCATCCAGAGCCTTACTGAGGAGATACCCATCCTGGGGCAGGTATGATCCTACTACAACCTGAGTGTCAGGGGCTCACCTTAGCATCCAGAGCCCTACTGAGGAGATACCCATCGGGGGGCAGGTATGATTCTACTACAACCTGAGTGTGAGGGGCTCACCTTAGCATCCAGAGCCCTACTGAGGAGATACCCATCGGGGGACAGGTATGATTCTACTACAACCTGAGTGTGAGGGGCTCACCTTAGCAACCAGAGCCTTACTGAGGAGATACCCATCGGGGGACAGGTATGATTCTACTACAACCTGAGTGTGAGGGGCTCACCTTATCAACCAGAGCCTTACTGAGGAGATACCCATCGGGGGGCAGGTATGATTCTACTACAACCTGAGTGTGAGGGGCTCACCTTATCAACCAGAGCCTTACTGAGGAGATACCCATCGGGGGGCAGGTATGATTCTACTACAACCTGAGTGTGAGGGGCTCACCTTAGCATCCAGAGCCCTACTGAGGAGATACCCATCCTGGGGCAGGTATGATTCTACTACAACCTGAGTGTCAGGGGCTCACCTTATCATCCAGAGCCCTACTGAGGAGATACCCATCGGGGGGCAGGTATGATTCTACTACAACCTGAGTGTGAGGGGCTCACCTTAGCATCCAGAGCCTTACTGTAGGTTGAAGCCCCACCTCTTCCAGGGATCTTCAGAGGTAGGGGCACAGAGATGATTCCTGTAAACAGAAAACCAAACGTTTTAAAAACAATTATATTTTATAGTTCTTGTTGTGAACAACATCCGTGCGGAGATAACCAAGACACAACCTTGTGGGGAACTGAACCTGTACCCTCAGCGTGATGAACCAACACTACACCACCTGCCTACCTCACCACCCTTATTTACCTTTATGTAACAGATCAGTCATAATAACAGTTATAGGTAGAATTCAAAATTAGTGGACAGGCAAATAAAATACATGTATATATAAATTATGCATAGATATTTCAAACACACTTATCAGACTTGTAAACCAACACATGATATTTTCAATTACTGAAACAGGAATTTTCCAAGAAAGGACTGGAAACATTATGCTTATGTAATAGTGTAATGATAGCGAACCCACCATGCCAGTGAGTGGTTGTCATGGATACGATGGTGTCACTGACTTCCTTTGAATCCTGGAAATCCAGTCCCAGAAAGAGGCTGAGGCAGATCTCCGTGACCAGCTGTTTGAAGAATGCATACAGGCACTTGGGACGGCTGCAAGGATAGTGTGACATCATCATTGTGGCGGGACTGTTTGTGTTAGTGAGTTGGTCATAAGTGAGTGAGTGATGCTTATATTCCCGCAATATCACGGCAGGGGACACAAGAAATAGACTTCACACATTGTACCCATGAGGGGAATTGAACCTGGGTTTTCGGCTTTAACCACTAGGCTACCAGTTGGTCTTAAACTCCGGGGTGTGGGGTGGTGTGGGGGTGGGGGGTTTTGGTTGTTGGTGCCAGGGGGTCAGCAATTTTGTACACACGTGCTTTGGGGAGTCACCAATTTTGTACATAAAAATATGCTTAAAATCATGCTTAGAGATGGGAAGGGGAGGGGGGCATTGATGTATCACACATGGGGTACCTATTTGGTACATAAATTTTAGGGGGGGGGGTCATTCACATTGTACATGCTTCTCCATAAAAATCATCATCACCTCCCCTAGCCATAAATTATGAACGGTCCCTAGGTGACAAAATGATTCAGCCCATGGTCAAAGGCTGCTGGCATGACAGTGAATTAGGATGACTTACACAACTGGGCCACACACTCCAAGTGTAGTAAGGGGAGTTATCTCCCCTTTTAAAGCTACAGGTAACCCCTCACAGCAACAGCCAGATTGTGGCCCAGTGACAGCTCCCAACAATGTCGGGAACTTTACAACCATGTATGGAGTTTAACTGACAGATGTGTTTACAAACATGTAATTTTTAGAGTAAAATTGATATTTTATACTTATCCTGACTCATGCTCTTTTTGCTTGTCTTCTTCTTCTTGCGAACATAGTGGAACACTTGTATCTCCCTAATTGAAGCTCCCTTCAATGTAAAATCACTAATTAGTACTCACCACGAGTTACCTCCCTTCCACAAGCGCGGGAACGAGGGCGCCACCTCTACCCATGTGCCTCACTCTCTCCTCATATACTGAGCCCAACATTTGAATTTACAGGGAAATCCAAAGTGTTATGTGGGGAGGATGGGAGGGAAGCTTACCTCATGAGTCAGGATAAGTATAAAATATCAATTTTACTCTAAAAATTACATATTTTTCCTTATCCTGACTCATGCTCTTTTGCTTGTAGAATCCTCTACGGCAAAGGAGGTGGGAATATATAATACTTTGGATTTTAATAATTAGTGATTTGAACTGTGATGATTGTAATAACCCTATGGGAACTTCATAAAGGCACTGAACTGATGAATTCCTGCTGCAAACTTATCAGCTGCCATATAAAGGTTATTACAATGTACTTATTATGATAAAGTATATATAACATTAATACAATGCTTAAGACTAATAGACTTAAGCTTGTTAATATGCTAGTATAAACTCCTTAGAGTTTGTTAGCTAAAATACTTAAAGATATATAAACATAGTACTAAGCTTAAGATATGATTAAACTTAAGCTAATTATATAATAGCAAAACTCTTTAGAGTTTGTTAGTTAATATACTTATATGATATAGATATAATGCTGAGCTTAAGATATGAATAAGCTTTAGCTACATATATAATAGCAAAACTCTGTAGAGTTTGTTAGCTAATATATTTTTACAATATGAGTATAGTACTGTGCTTAAGATATAATTAACTTAAGCTACATATACAATAGCCAAAAACTCTGTAGAGTTTATTAGCTAATAGATTTATAATGTAACCATAGTACTAAGCTTAAGATAAGATTAGACTTAAGCTAAATGTATTAAGCAAAAAACTCCTTAGAGTTTATTAACTAATATACTTTTATGTTATAAACATAGTACTGAGCTTAAGATATGATTAAACTTAAGCTATATATATAATAGCAAAACTCCGTGGGAGTTTTGTTAGCTAATACATTTTATAATGTAACCATACTGCTTAAGATATGATGAAACTTAAGCTAATTGTATAATAGCAAAAAACCCTTTAGAGTTTGTTAGCTAAAATACTTATATGATATAAACCTAGTATTGAGCTTGTGAAGGAAACCTTAAGCTACATATATAATAGCAAAAACTCTGTAGAGTTTGTTAGCTAATACATGTTATAATGTAACCATAAAGCTTAAAATATGATGAAACTTAAGCCAAATATATAATAGCAAAAACCTCTTTTAGATTTTTGATAGCTAATATACCTATATGATATAAACATAGTACTGCGCTTAAGATATGAATAAGCTTAAGTTACATATATAATAGCAAAAACTCCGTAGAGTTTGTTAGCTAATACATGTTATAATGTAACCATATTGCTTAAGATATGATGACACTTAAGCCAAATAGCAAAAAACTCTTTAGAGTTTGTTAGCTAATATACTTATATGATATAAACATAGTACTGAGCTTAAGATATGAATAAGCTTAAGCTACCTATATAATAGCAAAACTCCGTGAGAGTTTGTTAGCTAATATATTTTTTACAATATGAGTATAGTACTATGCTTAAGATATAATTAACTTAAGCTACGATATAATAGCCAAAAACTCTGTAGAGTTTGTTTAGCTAATGCATTTATCATGTAACCATAGTACTACTCTTAAGATATGATTAACTTAAGGTAAATATATAATAACAAACTCTGTAGAGTTGTTAACTTATATATTGTATGATGTAATAATCATAGTACTGTGATGATAAAAGGAACTTAAGCAAATTATATATAGCATGTAGCTATTTAGTACTGTTATAAGATAAGTAGAAATCTGTAAGATTGACTTATCTTCTCCGAGGAACTGTCAACTGTTGTGCGAGGACCATGGGATCAAATTGGTGGATACCTGAGACGTCCTCGGTGGTGATATCTCTCAGATAATGGTTGGCAACCACCATATCGGATCTCCAGAAATAAACCCTCCATTATTTCAAATAACATTTGTGTAGATCAATTGTAGAAGTTAGCGCTCTAATATCATGAGTATTAAAGGCTCATGGAGGGTCGGATTGGGTCCATCCGCCTTGTATGCACGTGAGTATGACAGTTCTGATCCAAACGGAGATATAGTACGTGAGACTTCATTCTGGCGTAAGTTGATGATAGAGGAAATAATCTTTTGCATTTTTCCTCCTGTTTGGTTCGGTGGAGATAAATTTACAGTGCTCTTGCTGGCCATCGTGATAGAATCATCGTATCATGGAGTCCAAGTATGTCATCCAGGCGTGTTTATAAACCTCACTTGTGAGGTGTTGGAGCACTATATTCAGATCCCCAAGTTGGAGGGTGAAACTTCCGCTTTAATTCTCCAATCAGAAAGCTTAAGTAGGTTTACTAACCATCTAGTTGTGTTAGTAGCTTAATGATGAAATTCAGCTGTAGTCTGAGACGCTGTGGATTTAGATCCACTTGTATCCCGTCCGCTCTAGGTTATTCGCCATAAGTCCTTTGACGATGTAGGTGCACAACCAGGTGTGTCTGTCCTCGCTGAACTTTTTATGTAAAATCGCCTGACTGCCGTGTGCCCTCGCCCTAACTTGACAGGGAGGTCTCTAATCTGAAGAAAGCAGCCCAATCATGAAGGTTCAGATTAACTGGACTGTAAGGAGGCTTGCTCGCTCACTGATATATAGTTGTCACTTGTAACGTAAGTCTTGAACTGTGAACTAAGATCGACCTTCATGTGAGGGTCGTTGTCCAACGCGTCCAATCAGAACAAGGCATTTTGATTCTGTAGAATACCCGCCAGTGATGTCACCGTGTGTAGCAGGAAAAACCTTGTATAAAATCTTGCCGCCGCTGATATTAGCATAATCGTCGGTCTTCACCGTGAAGCTTCCCCGGTTACCCGAAAGTGACCACGTGTTTCGAGGGTTAAAGGTAAACGCCGAAACCTCCGCCGTAAATACCTCGATCTGTAATATTAATGCTGGGTAGGTTATTTTCCTGGCTGTCGTGGAAAGTAACTTCAGTTTTGAATATAATCTCGACTTCCTTATATAAAGGTACAATAAACTCTGTAAGTTGTCAGCTTGTAGACTGTATACATGAATGTATCGCCATAATTGTAGAATTAAAGCTGAACTTGTTGTACATATTTCTTCTCAGAAACGCTGACGATTATGAGTTATACTTTCGCTGTAACAAGGCTGCTGTTCAATTTCGATATTGAATTGTTCGCAGATGTGCTGTAATGGTCACGCATGTAGATAATCGTGATCGTAGTCCGGGATTGCATATTCTAGCAATCTATAACGGAAAGGTTGATTCCTGTGAAGATCTATGAAACGCCGCTGACTAATTAATACAGCTGACGCTCTGTGTTGTAAATAGCCTGTGCAATTGTCTTCGCAGTTTATAGATCGGCATATGGCATACAGTTGATAGACAACTTATGCGATGTCTTGAACGGACTGACGAGTAGCTATATATGACGAAAGTGGCTAATATATGGAGACCTTGGAGGAGATTTCCTCGGTGGACGCCGAGAGACTTCGCTAAGCTCTCGAAGCATCCATTCTAGATTTTCTGTGTGAAGCAGACTTGTAGCCACTTAGCCTTCGCGACCTTCGCTAAGGTATCGAAGTCAGAGCCCCATCAGTATATATATATATGAGCTTGCTTCGAATCCACCTCTGTGTTCAACAGGAGTGAGTGAGTGAGTGAGTTTAGTTTTACGCCGCACTCAGCAATATGTGGGTCGGGTGAAGCGCTACCTCCGCTGACGCCCCTTGTAACTGGTGAGGCTCTAGCTCTTCGCGGAGGTGGCCTGGGACTTCCTTAGCGAAGCGTCTAGAGTCCGATCAATATATGAGCCGCTAGCTTCATACAGGGTGTGGTTCTTGCTGGTTCTGCATAAGTAGAGCCGAGTAGATCATCCTATCATCTTCAGTAAGTCGTGGTCACTTAAATCTGGTGATAAGAATCTCATTGATCGCTCTAGATCTATTAAGGCCAAGAACATACCTCTGGCGCTTGAACTTTTATGGCTTTATGGTAGGCTGTGTCCACATTCTGTGGCACCGCAGCAATCGAAATCGATCGGAGGTAAGGTGATGGCGCCTGCATCGCCTTCCTTTATCAGGTATGTCTGCTGAGTTGCCACTCTTGGAAGGTGAAGAGAGATCTAGGTTGTTTACCATCCAATATCGTATCTCAGCCGCCTGAGAAAAATGATGCCTCCATCATCTTCTATCCCAGCACGCTGATGAGAGTTGATGCTCTTCTGATGGTGGACTGTGTATTTCTATCTCTATGTCGGGTGACGCCGGGGAGACCTGACTGTAGACTTGTGCGCAGACTTGTGTGGTGACCTGTGAGGCGATCGGGCGCATGGTGATGTACGAGGAGAGGGCGCTGTGAACGCCGAGGAGATCGCCTTGGTGATCTGGCGCCTATGGGTTGACCTTCGGAGACCTGTGAGGAGAATGTTGATAGCTTCGCCGAAGCTCTTGTGTGAGTCAGGTGTCCTTCGCCGGCTCTTCGCTAAGCTTCCTCCGCCCCGTCCTGGGGAACGGCGACTTGACCTTCGCTGAAGGCTTCCGTGAGGTCTGGTGGTCTGAGTCCGCATCTAAGGATGAAGCCGAGGAAGGTGATGATCTATCCCGCTTCTTCGAAGGCCTTCGCCGAGGTCTCGCGACTTCCTTCGCCGAAGGTGGCTTGCCGTGGCTGCTACGCTGATCGGGGGTGCCTCTGGGGTGTCGCTCATGCTTGGAACCTTCGCCGGCTGCTCAGGCCTTGGGCTGGCTGCTTCTCCAGTCTGTAGTGGCCGGCCCATCATGATCATGATTTGCCGCACAGTTCATCTGGGATGGTCTGGCGACGGCGTAGTCGGTGCCCTCTCTGCGATGTTAGCGGCGGGCCCTCAGGGAAGTCGCCTGGACGCCAGTGTAGAGACATCAGGCTGCATGGCGATCTCTGCTGATGTCACTGTGCTGTCTCCGGTCGCTTCTTGTGGCGTCGACGCCGGGATGATGATCGGCTGATCATCGTAGAGGCCCAGTTCAGCGGCTGGAACAATCTCGGTTGAGAAAGTCCTAGTAGACTTCGCTGATTTCCCCTCAGAGGTCGACGCTGCCCTGGGGTGCGTAAGTCTGGCGCTGGAGTGTTGGTAGCACAGACCCTCAGGAAGATCATAGAATATCAGCGCTGCCACACATCAGGCTGCATGTTGATCTCGCGCTGACATCACTGTTGCCGACATCGGTCATTCTTTGACGTACATCAGGTATGATGATCGGCTGATCATCATACAGGCCCAAATCGCGACGGAACAATCTCTCGCTGAGAAAGTTCAAGTAGACTTCGCTGATTTCCCCTCAGAGGTCGCTGTTGAGATGCAGTAGAAAACCCTCTAGTCTTCGGCGCGACGATGGGATGTCTGGGGAAGCAGGACGCTTGAGGCGGGCGGACTACGCCCCACGCCTTCCACCACCACTCTAGCGGAACACCAGACGGGAGGGGGTCGACCAACAGCAGTAGACTGGCGAGGGGTTTAGGTGTACCAGTCATGGCTAGACTCTGCATACGCGACTCTATCTGCTGCTGCCTCAAACGCAGTAAGTAATTATTTATTAAAGGCAGAATTGGATAAATTAGTACCGCAACTGCAACGCGAATAAAATGAAACATGGCGCAGTACAGCTAGGGCATATTAAATGCGATCAGCAGCAGAATAAAACGTAATGTGCAACAGTACAGAATTTTTATCAACGTAATCCACTGAAACAACACGGCCCCGTGAATAAACAGTAGAAACACGACTAAATATCAATATATAATTGTTGAAGGATACTAGCTAAACCTCTATAGATGTCTATATGAGGTAACTAACTAAATATAATCAAAGGATATAGTGTGTCGGGAGACACAGGCGCTCTCACGTCCAGCTCACTGGGCGAAGAAGGAGAGAGTGAGGCACATGGGTAGAGGTGGCGCCCTCGTTCCCGCGCTTGTGGAAGGGAGGTAACTCGTGGTGAGTACTAATTAGTGATTTTACATTGAAGGGAGCTTCAATTAGGGAGATACAAGTGTTCCACTATGTTCGCAAGAAGAAGAAGACAAGCAAAAGGAGCATTAGTCAGGATAAGGAAAAATAAGTAATGTATGAATTCTCTTCATCACCTGAACTGGTATTTTGTTTGTTTATTAGGGACCGTTCATAATTTATGGCTAGGGGTGTGATATGATGATTTTAAGGGGGTCACCCATTTTGTTCTGGGGAGGTAGGGGTCTTGGAGCTCCAAGACTGAACACTATAAAGTATTTACCTGGTGTCCATACTGGCAAGTTTTTTGTTGAGAACCCTGTTGATGAAAAGATTCACATTGTCAGTGTCACGATCATGATATCAGTTCTGTGTATTCATGTCAAGCTTATTTGTACTGATGTCTTGATGAGCTGTATCCTCTTAGATTCTACCAAACATTTCCGGTGGTAATATTTATTACACCATTCACCATAACCATGACAACAGCTATATAAACACAAGTATGCCTTACCTAAATAAACTTACCTTTTGCTTTGTCATTATGTTTATTGTTAATGTGTTATTAAAAATGAACTAACTTTATTTAGTTCCTTCTGCGACTGAATGTATTTGTGGCTACATCACGATGGCTTGCCAATAACCAAGAACTGGCTTGCCAAACAAGCGGTTGACAACATGAGCAAGAATCCATATCTGTTACCATGACAACCAACCAGGTCACACTATAAGTTGTAGCATTGGGATGAGGGTTATACAGGGTTTTATGCATCCCTCGTTAGGTTTTATCCACCGATCTGGAGGCGAGGTTGATGAAACCTAATGAGGGACACATAGAACCCTGTATACCTCAAATCATAATGCTACAACGAATTTATCTTACCGAATGTTTAAATCTCTCATTATGTAAACCTAACCTTAAAACAAACTGAAATTCAATCATATCTTTTACTAACATCGTACCGACTAGTCGATCAAAACCACTGGCTCACGGTTCACTGACTGCTGTGGATGCATGCTTTTTCAATGGGGTGGGGTATAAAGGAATATATTCTCACGCGGAAAGATTTATATCCCACTTGGGCGGTGTATGGCCGTGCAATTTGTTCAAAGATCACGTGAACCAATCAGAGATGGACATTCTTACATGAAGTAGGATAAACTGTCTTAACAGAATATTATTTATAGGATATTTATATAGCGCACATATCCACGCACTAGTGCATGCTCAAGGCGCTGGTATTTTTCCCTCGATCATTGGATGTCAATCTGAACAGCACATCGCATTATCAATCTCAACTCCCCTGGGAGATATACAACTATTGCAGCCACTGACTGGTTGGTTATTGTGGCTTTCTCATCCTAACGAGGTACCCATTCACAGCTGTGTGGATTGGGATACATAGTCACAGTACTTTGTCCATAGACTGCACGTTTCTGTACCCGCAACTAGGTGTTTGCACATATTCATGTGGCCACCATCTGGTCAAATACCAACGGATTTGTGGGTTCTTTTAAGTGCACAGGGTTGTGTACTGTACACTAGGGGTTGTGACAACACTGAAAGAGTCTGTCACACAAAAACTCTTTTACACCGGTCACAGGTGGGCTCGATCCCGACACCTCAACCTCGCTGGATCTTTAGCCTGGCGTCTTAGCCAGCTAGCCCACCGCTTATTATAATATCAGAAATGGTATGAGAGCTAGGGATGTAGTATTCCCCTGAATTGCTATGAAACACAATGTTTCCTGATTACATACTGACAGATGTCATCAAATACATAATGACTGGTTGGTGTTGGGTAAATACATCATAACTCTTGGGAATGTGTTATTAAATACACAAGGACTCACAAGATGGTGTTTTGTCAAATATACAATGTATTTTTTAGGATCCATTGTCAAATACACAAAAACTCTCACAATGTTTCGTGAGGGAGGTATTTTGTCAAATACACAAAAACTCTCACAATGTTTCGTGAAGGAGGTATTTTGTCAAATACACAAAACTCTCACAATGTTTCGTGAGGGAGGTATTTTGTCAAATACACAAAAACTCTCACAATGTTTCGTGAGGGAGGTATTTTGTCAATGCATGACTCATACATGAATGAAGGTATATCCAAAACCAAAATGAGCCAAGACTTGATTGACAGTGTGAGACTTGACAGCTTATGAACATGCTCATTACATCAGCCTCTGGTTTGTCTTGATCGGAACTATTTATTTACCAGTCATTCTAATATGGGTGTTGTATTGCTGACTATGGCATAAAACAGCAACAATGTCAATACAAATCTTCAACAAAGCTAAAAATTACTATCTCTTTAGCAATGATATGAAAATAGTCCTTGTGTACTGTTTTTCACAGATTGGCATATTATTCATATGAATTAAGAAAAAAATTATTTTAACAATTTAATCGCTATCAGTTGTCAGCTACAATTTCATGTCAGATGAAAGTAGAAGAAACCCACAATCCATACATTGGTCAAAACAGGAAAAAACATGGTAAAGGGACACAACTCTGCATGTGTCCAGTAACGGATGTCAGTTAACACGGAGCCTCACTCAGTACCTGTCAATGGTCTGGTGGTAGGTGCGGACACTGTCTTCTGTAAACAGCTGACTCAGAGAGTGCCGTAACACCTGCGCCTCCGCACCTGAGGCAAAAGAACGTAGATAACAGTAACCATGGTAACACAGAATCATGCCACATCCTTACATCTTAACATCACTGATGTTTTTACATTAGACATCATAATGCTGAATATTACAAAAATATGAGTGCATAATGCTATTGCAGTGGTTTACACATAAAACATATTAGAATTTGTACTGACATTACAGCTATACAGAACATCCAAACCAAGGTAACTGTTCCAGATTTGTCAAAATGTATTTTCTTGAGAATAGTGCACATACAAGCATAATGCACAGCCCCATCTGGGCAATGCCGTATTTTGGAACTAAATCATATCCCTTCAGCAAAATTCAAAGAAATAAACAGGTGAAAAAATATTTCAACAAAAACATGAACTTTGCCATATATAACCAGAGTGATACAACTATACATGACAGTTTGAATTAAAAATTGTAGATACTGTTTTGCTTGACATCATTACATGTGTAAGCCATGTTTTGCTTGATTTAAGAAATTTGTTTGACATCATTACATGTATAAGCCATGTTTTGCTTGACATCATGTGTTTTGTTGACATCATTACATGTATAAGTTTTTTGTGAACATACATGTATAATTGTTTTGCTTGACATCATTACATGTATAAGGTTTTGCTTGACATCATTACATGATATAAGCCATGTTTTACTTGACATCATTACATGATATAAGCCATGTTTTGCAGGAATTATGATTCCTCCATGTATTTTCTCATAAACTAAGCTTGAAATTGCGATCAGTAGCCTGCTCTGACAGATTTTCTACCAGATTTGCAGGTGATTCAGTTAGAAAATTTCCAGTTATATAACCCCTAAGAATTTTTGTGCAATGAAGAAATTGTATCTGAAACTATCAATATAACAGGAATGCTATATTCCAGTAAAACAGAAGTTAAGTTGCAGCTTTTACTATTTTAAGTATATAACCAGTAACCATAGGAAAACACTTTGTGACAGCTGACGGTTATTGATGGATGTTTTATATATTTTGATCACCAAATCACCTTTGTTATCAGTTATTTTGATCACTTTTACGAATCACCTTTGTTATCAGTTATTTTGATCACTTTAACAAATCACCTTTGTTATCAGTTATTTTGATCACTTTTACAAATCACCTTTGTTATCAGTTATTTTGATCACTTTAACAAATCACCTTTGTTATCAGTTATTTTGATCACTTTTACAAATCACCTTTGTTATCAGTTATTTTGATCACTTTTATCAACAAATCACCTTTGTTATCAGTTATTTTGATCACTTTAACAAATCAAATCACCTTTGTTATCAGTTATTTTGATCACCTTTGTTATCAGTTATTTTTTAACAAACCTTTGTTATCACCTTTGTCACCTTTGTTATCAGTTATTTTGATCACTTTAACAAATCACCTTTGTTATCAGTATTTTTTTACAAATCATCACTTTAACAAATCACCTTTGTTATCAGGTATTTTGATCACTTTAACAAATCACCTTTGTTATATCACTTTAACAAATCACCTTTGTTATCAGTTCTTTTGATCACTTTAACAAATCACCTTTGTTATCAGTTATTTTGATCACTTTAACAAATCACCTTTGTTATCAGGTATTTTGATCACGAAAATATGAATGTTAGATATATATATCAAACTACAACAAAAATGGCTTTCAATGCCAGTGGGCGTGATCTGTTTCACTGAATCAATTGAATTTACTGAAATGTATGTATAAATAATGGTAAATGAAATTATCATTCTGAGATGCTTCGGTGAAAGATCAAAGGCGCTGACAGTACTTTATCAGACGATAATGTGCACTTTTTGCATTACGTCACCATGTACTGGCGTCACTGTGCCATTCTAGTCTGCCCCCTCGTAATCGAACACTTTTTGCATTACGTCACAATGTAACCGACGTCATGTCAGTTGTCAGTCGCCTCATACAGCCTCCTACAGTAAACTTGGTTTGCAGTTGCTTCACTCAGCTAACATCACTGGTGGAAACATTACGTTTATGTATTCCAACGGATAAAATGTCGCAGTTTCACTCACAATTTTACAGCGACACGGTAACATTGGCAATGTTTACATTCCCACAATGCTAACGTGGAATGTCGCTTTGACTAGTCAGCTTCATCTGGATGTACTGATCATATTACCCCATATGGTCTACGTTAATCACAGATGTAATTAAAATAATATAGAGAAGATATTTTACCCGAACATAAACCGTCATCAAACTGTTTATCATTTGTTATTCTGGAAACGTTCGTTTTAACGTAGGGGGCAGACACGTCAATAGAACAGCGCGTCAGTAAGCCCTGTGCGAGGATTCTTAATTTTATGTCACAGACACCGTCGTTTGTTTTCTGCCTTAGATTAATCGTAATTATCTTTAGAAAGTATTAAATTTGGCATCTTAAAAAAGAAATACAGTTCGCTCTACCACCATGTAGAGTGTAATAAAGCATACTTTCGCCCTGAACTATTATAGTTAAAGCACGAGGACGCTTGCTTGCGAGCGAACTGTATTTCTTAAATAACAATAATATACTTGGAGTCTTGCTTTGTAGCATTATCTGTTACCTTCATATGATTTAAGGTGGTATTTCATCTAGATTACTGATACTCAGTACAACAAATTACAACACAGTTCAACTTGCAACTTAATATATATCTGTACAACATAACATAACTCTGTACAACTTAATACAACCCAGAACAACAAAATAAAATAAAACTATGTAACTCAATACAACAGACAGTTTAACTTAATTTAAGTTAACTCAATACAACACAGTACAACCAGGCACAACTCAGAATGTATTGTACATTTTTCTCCACATATTTGTCAATAACATGCTATATATAGAGTAACCTATATTAGCATAGTTAGCGGAATGTTCAATGAGAGATCAGTCACAAGAATAAATAGCTTTGATAACATTGATTTCCTCTTCACAGCTGTCGTGACAGACTTACTCATTTTGACATCACAAATCACTGACTCAATACAATAAATCAGTTTCTCTTTCCCTAAGTTTGACTTAAATCTCCCGTCTTCACCGACCCAGCAAATATAACTGAGTGACGTCAAAATGAGTTAAACAATAGGGTGATATGCACAGGAATTGTACTCATCTTGGTCCTGATAAAAAAGTATACAAATTACAATGATTAACTCTTAATGTTTTGTTGATAAAGTGAGTGAGGGAGTGAGTTGGGTTTTACACCACTTTTAGCAGTATTCCAGCAATATCACGGCGGGGAACACCAGAAATGGGCTTCACACATAGTCCCCAAATGGGAAATCGAACCCGTGAGGAGCGAACACATTAACCACTAGGCTACCCCACTGCCCCGCTATGGTTTGCGAGTGTACTGTACCCATGTGGGGAAATGAACCCGGGTCTTCGACGTGATGAGCAAACACTTTAACCACTGGGCTACCCCACCGCCCCTTGTTGATAAAGAGTAATCATAGGACATGCATATGAGTTAGTTGGGGTTTTTGTCCAAAAAATCCATCAATTCTGACTATAGATTTTCTCCTAATGAAAGTTCAGAAAAGACCCTCTCCATGTTTTGTACTAAAGACACAAGTTCTCAGTACTACCCTACTGAATTAGGAAGATGTTATCCATACACTGTGTCTTCTCTGTCATCAGTCATCTTGTAAGAAATGCCCATCAAACAATGTTTCATTATCGTAAGTAGAGTCAATGTTCCATGATCCATCCCTAAACCATAACCATGGCAACCCCAACACTGAAGCCAGCAACAATTAGCAGAGGACTGAAAAATCATGTTTATCCAATCTGCTACTTTAATAGTACTTACCATTGGTAAACAAGATATTGTCCCCAAATATCTGCCCCATGAACGCCTTGTATCCAAGCTCCAGGTGCTCTCCGCCATCTGCAATACAGAACAGTCGTAATGACACGAGGATGGATGACACACAAGGCTAAACATCAGCAGTATGGGATTCACCTTCTCCAGACTAAGCGTCCCATCAGGACAAATTGAGAAGAAAATCATTATATTATTTTATTCAAATCTGAGACCATTATAAACATGTTTAAGTTCCTATTTTCTTAAATTTAGATTATTTAACACTGTATTTTGATGCATTCATGTACGACTAATTATTCAAGTCTCTTCCTCTTCACCATGTTTGTTGTTCCTGCTATGAGTGAAGCTAAGTCAGCTGTGAAATTCCATTTACAATAAACACTGAATCCATTTCTTCATTTCTGAAGTGAAGTAGTCACTATCCCTCATATCATTTAATTTCAGAAGTGATGTCACTATCCCTCGTATCATTCACTTTTGGTAGTGATGTCACTATCCTCGTATCATTTACTTTCACTATCCCCCAGTTATTTTCAGTATATTGATAAGTGATGTCAATATTTTCAGTATATTGATAAGTGATGTCAATATTTTCAGTATATTGATAAGTGATGTCAATAGTTTCTACAATGAAGCATGTTTTGCACAGTACCTGCCAGCACTTTCTCCACTCCGCTGTTGGAACACACGAACACTGTTGGCTTGTTCAGGAAGCGAAGAGAAAACACCCTGGACTTGTTTTGAGTCATGTACTTCTCTAGAAAATCTCTTGGGTTTTTGTAGAATTCGTACGACTTATCTCCAAGCAAAGGCCAACCTACAGACCCTGGAGCAGTTGGGCTGGTTGCCATTGTCTATAAATGTCTGGCAGATATTTGTGTAAATCAAAGATATTGACAGTTGACTGCTAACATGCAAATGCCTGCGTCGAGACTATCACAGTACTTGATATATCCAGCAGAAGATGAACAACCTCAAGGCCTCACATTCATGGTATCATATGATCTGTTCAGCTGATCTCTCGGGAATCAATGCAACTGAAACAGACTAAATGTACTGGCCTTCTGACACATATTAAGTGAGTGGTTAGGTTAGCGTTACGCTTTTAGCAATATTGTGGTGGGGGACATCAGAAATGGGCTTCACATATTGTACCCATGTGGGGAATCAACCCTGGTCTTTGGTGAGAGACTTACCCCACTACCCTCATATATATCAAGTGCAACAAGTAGGCAATAACACATTATAAAACACATGATAATGCATTGAGATGATTAGCAACAGGCCATAAACAGGAATGTGATCATGGTGATTACTTGCACATGCAGAAACAAATTAGGACTGATCAGTGGGCAAGTACATTTTCCTAAGATGACCATAAATATTATGAAGAATGTATTTTCCGAACATGTTTTAAATCACGTGAATGCTACAGTGGAAAAGTGGGTTCAGACTAAAACGTCACCTGGCGAAAATGGCACCATTTGGACATAACGGAACCTCGACTTGGCGAAAACGGCTACAAATCTTATGGCGAAAACGGCACCAAATAAAATCTTAATCATTGGGAAAATCTTATTTGTCATTAGATAATCTGAATACAGAATTTTGGAATGCGTCTACTCTGCCGACAGTGATTGGAAAGTTTGTGTTAGCTGATAATCGGATTCCAGTATGTTTAGATAATGAATGTGTCTACTCTGTCGACAGTGATTGTAAAGTGAATCCCATAGCCGATAATCGTCTTGTAGAATCAACAATCAGTTTAGAAATCAACAACTGCTCGAACGTACTGGCGCTGCAGTGTCAGGAACAAGACGACCACGTGTCCTGCATCTGTTATTCAGTTCGGGGCTTCATTTGAAGAGGGGAAACACTGCCATGGCCATCCACCCCAACCAGGCCAGTTGACAGCAATCCGAGTGAGAGTGGAGGTATTTATCGTCTTTGTTTAATAATTGACAGTCACAATAATTTAGTAGATTGTTAATTGGCCTTTAATTGAGCAGTGTGTTAATCGGCCTGTAATTGAGTAGTGTATTAATCGACCTGTGTAATTGTGTAATTGTTATATATTAATAACAAGGTGGGAGAACAGTCACTAGGGCTCTACAGGCTCATCTCAGAGCTCCATCGTGAGCCCAGCCTCCTACCCCTTCAGACAAGGCTTATACAAGAAGGAAGGCTGAAGGCATACATCCGCAAATCATCAACAGCTAGGCAGGAGGAGGTATTTGAACTTTGGAGTTTGTTCAAGGATGGTGACCTGTCTCTGTCACAACTACTGTCAAGATGTGCGATTATCCACGGACCAATCGTTTAGTGAATTGCTGCAATTCATGAAAAGACATTCATGGGATATATAAGCATCCGGCCAAATATGGACTTTGACGTAGATTCACACCGTTGTATAAGAACATGTGTTATGTGTTATGTTGACAGTGCTTTTGTTATCGTCATACTGTGTTTTATATATGTTGATATAAGCTTGCTAATGTTATAATGAAACGAACTAAAACATAAAAGTCAACATCATACTGTGTTTTATATATGGTGCCGTTTTAGCTCAGAAATCAGTAACCGTTTTCGCCAATATGGTGCCGTTTTCGCCAAACGATTTTGGTGCCATTCTGCTGTGGTGCCGTTTTAGCTATAACACTGGAAAAGTCTGCAAATCTTACAAAAGGGAAGGATAAAAAATGTAACACATTTTAATAATTATACCTTATCACAGTTGTATAACTGAAATTAAATATTTCTTATCATATTTAAACGCTACCCAGATAGCATTCGGACGTTGGCCCACCGTTGGCAAAACCATTGCCAACGTTGGGCCAACATCTGAATGCTATCTGGGTAAGGGCTTGGCCCTCTCAGCTGGCTGCTTGGGGAATGAATGTCTTCTACATTAACGTGTATACCTGTCAATACAACACCCTATGAAAACTGGAATAAGTATGGCATGCATGGAAAGAGATTATGACTCAGCAGAATTTTTCTTTCCACTCACAAACCTTACATTACTTCCTCGAGTACACATATGACATACAGCTAGCGAAGTATCAGTCTGACGGCAATACCCAACGTTCATGAATAACTTTACAAAGTCAAATGAAATATCTCAACACTAGATGCAGCGATTGTGAAAACTGAAATCATCTACATCATGCAACTATCAAGCTAAAACTTCACTTGTTATTCATATAGCTGAAGATTAATTTGTCGAGGTGGCAAACTCAAAATGTCAAACTAATCTGCCCACCACATGATGACAGTGATAATAGGAATGTTAAGCTGATTATGATGAAATGTCAAATGTTATTTTTATCGGCGAGTTTCTAGCTTAGCTAATTCATGTTTCCAGCTCAGCTAATATTCATGATGAAATAAATTTGTTTCCAAATCGACATTTTCTCAAAACTATTACCTGTCGTTGGTTACAAATCGCACGGCTCCCACAGTCACCACCGTTGATCGGCATATCCCTCAGCTTACACCCTTGGGAGGGTTAGCTAGCGTAACCTGTCGCCTGAAACAATCCATGGCCACTCATCCGCATCCATTTCCGCAATAAACAAAAACGATCGTGCCATTGTATCTAAGACAACATATGATTGGCTATTTCAGATGAACGGTCAAGTACAGAATCACTGATTGGCTATTGAACAACCTTCACCTTTCGAATTGACATATGGCGGGAAATAGCACATGCAGTACTTGCGTAGATTAGGAAGTGATTCAATCTTCCGTGTTCACTGTCGCTGGCCATTTTCCAGTGCATTTAACCCACAGATAAGCGATATGATAGGTCAAGCGAAGATCTCATCCTTTTTCAACCCTAAGAACGCCAAGAGGCCAGCAGACACTGTTGCAGACCAGGTAACTAGGGATTCGGTGAAGTACTGCGCTGTCTTGTCTGTTACCGTGTTCAATGTTTTGAGTGCCCATGCGCATAAAAAGAGCTTTCAACGTGGGCGTGACCAGTGATTCTTGTTTACTAAATCTCGAAATATATCATGACAGAATAGAAAATTGAAAACAACCTAGGGGAAGGAAACATTGACTTGTTCCTCTTGAATTTTTTTCTCAAAAGGGAGGAGTATTAATATTTCTAATACGGTATGTGGAATAGGACCTCATTGGTTTTTAATCACTCATTCACTGACATAGACGGACTAGGCTACATTTGTTATTTCATTATTCTCAACACTTTGAGAAATTCGAACTAATATCAATGGTAGCCAGGGCTTAAAATTTTCTGGTTTTATAATTTGATTAATAAAAGGTATTTTTCAATATAAGCCCAGGGCTTAAGTACATCAGTTCCAGGTATGTAGTGATGGTGCTGACAACATTGATAAAATATATGCACCCAGAGGAGACTGCTTTTTTTAATATTGCATCAAATTAACAGCAACAAATTATCTACCAACATTACTGGTATATAACAAGTGTTGTGATTTCAGAACACTCCACCAAAGAAGAGTAAACCGACCTCTGTCCCAGCTGATGAGGAAGAAGTATCACCATGTTCACAGACTTTGTCTCCAGATCAACGCAAGAAAATAGAAGAAAACCGAATAACAGCTCTATCCAAAGTACACGCCAAGAAATCATCAGGCCTGGTTGTCAATGTTGGGAAAACTTGGCTGAAGGCTTTGGAACCAGAATTTTCCAAGTCTTACTTTGTGGAGGTGAAAACAATTACTGATCAGTTGAACTTAACGAGTCCCTATCTGAGTCTGGGTTAGAATTTTGTACCTAGCTAAAATGTGGTGGTGGAAGAGAGGCTTGATGCTGGTCAGGATCGTTTCTCGCAATGTCAATCACTGGATTGTCAGGTCCACATTGGATTAGTGATGAGTGTGGCATCAAAAAGATAAACCTGTGTGGCGAGGGTCTCTGTCTGACTGTGTTGAGGGATCTGTCTAACTGTGTTGAGGGATCTGTCTGACCAAGGACGTATATGCACGTATATACGTCTTTGGTCTGACTGTGTTGAGAGGGTCTCTGTCTGACTGTGTTGAGGGATCTGTCTGACCAAGGACGTATATGCACGTATATATGTCTTTGGTCTGACTGTTGAGGAATCTGTCTGATTCAGTGATTGTGTTGAGAGGGATCTCTGTCTGACTGTTGAGTTAAGAGGGATCTCTCTCTCTGACCATGCTGAGAGGGATGTGTGTCTGACCATGTTGAGTTGAGAGGGATCTCTCTCTGACCATGTTGAGAGGGATGTGTGACTGACCATGTTGAGTTGATCTCTGTCTGACCATGTTGAGGGGATGTGTGTCTGACCATGTTGAGTTGAGAGGAATCTCTCTCTCTGACCATGTTGAGAGGGATGTGTGTCTGACCATGTTGAGTTGAGAGTGATCTCTGTCTGACCATGTTGAGGGGGATCTCTATCAGACCATGTTGAGAGGGATGTGTGTCTGACCATGTTGAGTTGAGAGGGATCTCTGTCTGACCATGTTGAGGGGGATGTGTGTCTGACCATGTTGAGTTGAGAGGGATCTCTCTCTCTGACCATGTTGAGAGGGATGTGTGTCTGACCATGTTGAGTTGAGAGTGATCTCTGTCTGACCATGTTGAGGAGGATCTCTATCAGACCATGTTGAGAGGAATTTCTGTCTGACCATGTTGAAATTTGTGTCCCCAGTTGAGTCAGTTTGTTCAGAATGAGCGGAGCAAGCACACCATCTACCCGCCAGCAGACCAAGTGTTTAGCTGGACGCAAACCTCGGACATTGATCAGGTGAGGGGGTTGGTCATGTCGTAGCTTGGTCTAGAGTAATTTCATTCAGATTTTCGAAGAGAAATAAGGAGATTTTTATTCTTGATTATTCTGGAGAAAAAAATCCTGTCATTCTGAATAACGATCTGATGTCCACCTGTTGTCCAAGATAGGTTCAGCTTTACCATCACTGTGACATTCTGTGTTCACTGTCCAGGTGAAGGTCGTGATACTGGGACAGGACCCATACCATGGACCCAAGCAGGCACATGGTAGGTACGCTTAAAGAAAATAAAAAGAGAAATGTTTTGTGTTAGCCTGGCAACCCTTTCGACTTTGAACAGCTGAAATGACTTGTGTGAAGGATATAGATATAATGCTGGGATATCGTTTTTATCAGTTAAGATGATATAATGCTGGGATAACGTTTTTATCAGTTAAGATGATATATTGCTGGGATAACGTTTTTATCAGTTAAGATGATATAATGCTGGGATAACGTTTTTATCAGTTAAGATGATATAATGCTTGGATAACGTATTTGGCATAGGGATAATATTATTATTGATTACGATGATAAGCTTGTCTCTTGTCATAATCATAGGAATATAATACTACGATACTGTCAAAGTACTCACGAACAGTGATGACAGGTGTGATATTACCATATGTTCGTGTCCTTCCAGGCCTGTGTTTCAGTGTACAACAAGGTGTCCCACCTCCACCCAGGTGAGAAGTTTTGATTTTACTTTGCAGTGACTACTAGTACAGGGGTGGAAATAACCCATTGCCCGACGTCCGAGTCCAGTGTTTTTTTCTGTCGGGCAGGCAAATTTGTATATCACACTGTACTGGTATCCAGTTGACTTACCAATGTTAATTATGTTGTTTATTTAAAAAATCAACAAGAAAATGGACGGTATAGTGGAAAAAGTATCAGGGCAAGTGATTTTACATGTGCCACTGTACCGAGCACACCAGCAATTTTGAAGTTATTTCCACCCCTGTAGTACTATGTTTATTCAATTTTATTACCGGTGTCTTCAAATCATTTGGCTTTATACTGACTGACTGACTGAGTTTTAGTTTTACGCCGCTTTTAGCAATATTCCAGCAATATCACGGCGGGGGACACCAAAAATGGGCTTAACACATTGTGCCAATGTGGGGAATCGAACCAGTGTCTTCGGCGTGACGAGCCAACGCTTTAACCACTAGGCTACCCCACCGCCCCTTTGGCTTTATAAACCACAGTATGAACTGGTACCCTTTGCTGTTGTAATGTAAATAGTGCTTTTGATTGTCAGAGCAGAACTGAATACTCCTTTTATTTATCTGTCAAGCCATGAACAGAGGCTTTAAGCTAATGAGAGATATTTAAGTTTTTATTATTTTTAATTTTTCATGGAAATAGATGGGGTTTGTTTCCACAGAACACAGAATCTGTTCACTGTTTTGAAACTTGCATAAACACGTCCCGGGCATGAACTGCTGCCTTCTGACGGTTGGTAAGGACAGTAGGAATTCTGTTGATCAATTCATGCATATTTCCCCATACACTGACTCAACTCACTGTCTGCCTGTCTGTCTGCAGCCTGGTAAACATGTATAAGGAGCTTCAGAAGGACATTGATGGGTTCAAGCACCCCGGCCACGGAACCCTCAATGGTTGGGCCAGACAAGGTGAGTTGCAACCAACAGACGTGATCAGCTTGTCAGAAGCAGACGCGGGCCGCTTGTCTGAAGCAGACGTGGACGACTTGTCTGAAGCAGACATTAATCAATGGTTTGTCTGAAGCAAACTTGAACAGCTTGTCTGAAGCAGACATGAACAGCTTGTCTGAAGCAGACATGGACAGCTTGTCTGAAGCAGATTATATGTTCAGATTCAAGTTCCACAATGTAAAATGTTTCCATCCATCCTCCAGATGGATGTGTTGTGTGACTCCCATCACTGAGCCCCTGTCAGCGTAGGTCTAGAATAACCCCAAACTTGTGAAAACTAACTGGCCTCCCTTTCGATAGTTTTCCATTTATGCAAACTGCTCTGTATGGTGCAAACCATCTCTCCATCCTCCCTACTTGTAGGTGTTCTGCTCCTCAACGCCTGTCTGACGGTGCGAGCCCACAACGCCAACTCACACGCTGGCAAGGGTTGGGAGAAGTTCACTGATGCTGTCATCTCTTGGCTCAACAAAAACGGAGATGGGATCGTCTTCATGCTATGGGGAGCCTACGCCCAGAAGAAAGGAGCCTGCATTGACAAGGTACTACACATGACTTTGTCTGGCTGAAAGGTCAACAACTTCAATCAGATTGGAACCACAATTGACTTGCTAACAGGAATCATGTATTGAATAAAATGCATCGTATTATCAGTATGTGTCTTGTCAACTTTAGTATGTCTTCCTTATTTGGACTGGAATGCATTATGGAAGAACATTATGTTTACTAATATGTAATAGAAGGTATACTCAACAATCAACATTCCAACACGGCAAGGAATAGTTGTCTCCCTTGGACAGGATCTGCAGAACATGGGTTTGAATCCCAGATTTGCCTGATTATCACCCTTGTCTTAAAACTCGCCTCAGACATGTAGGATTTCACTGACCTTGACATGACCTAAAGTTCAAGCTGACTCAAAGACTCAGATATGTTTGTCACTGTTGTAAGATTAACAGCAAGTATGTATGTTTCTTTTGCAATATTTACAACTCTTGTATAACTGCTTCAGAAAAGGCATCACATCCTAAAGGCTGTCCACCCGTCTCCACTGTCAGCGCACAGAGGCTTTTTTGGATGCAAGCATTTCTCACAGTGCAACACGCTCCTCAAACAGCAGGGCAAGACGCCCATTGACTGGTGGAGTCTCCCCAGGGAGTAGAGAAGACCAAAGAACAAGGAACAGTGCAAGCTGTTCATTGATTTCATTATGTTCATGATCAGATCATGTGTGCAACAGGAGATGTGGAGGTGTGTGTGTTATTTCAAACTGTTGCAAGGGTTTGTTTTATTGTGTTTTATTGATCACAATGTAGTCAGTATTTTCAGCTCACACTGCTATGCTTCTCCCTGTTGCCATAGTTATATCACCAGTTATCGTTATGTCTCTCGTTCTGTGTCATTGTATGGTCAGGGAGGCTGTTCAGGAGACGTTTATAGACGATTTTGTTGATTGTAGATTACAACAGATTATTCTTTTACTTCCAACCAAACTGAACATTGCATCTTATTTTAAGTTACTCTGTTTGGTGTGGAGCCATTCAGTTGGCAGTGTTTATATAAAAAGTATTTTAAGGTTCAATGACTTTTAGTCTATTGAGAATTCATGGCTCCTTGTGATTCTATAAGCTGATTTCTGATTGGCTGAAATTTGCCTTCAGGGTTGCCGTGTAGATGGCAGCATACACACAAATCTATATACATATGTATTAAGGGTGGGTATTGCAGAGAATTTTCATATTGCGATGCGAAAGCATGTATTGTGATATGTATTGCAATATATTGCATGAAGTATTTCTAAACAAAAACTACTTATAATCCAGTTAATGCTTGATTTATAGAGGAAAAACACAACAAAATCACTATGCTTGATTAAGCTTTAATAACAACTTTTAATCATGATAAAATATAAATGTGAATAATGTTTGGCACAAACAAAAAGGAAATATCCGAAGATTTTCGAGTGTTACGAAGTTTTCCGAATGCAAGTCAAAATGCCGGTTTTTGATCAGCGTATCGCAATGCGTATCGTTTTCACATCTGAACCGGTAAATACTGGTAAACCAGTTATATTGCACAGCCCTAATATGTATATGTAGCATTGAATCTATTCTCTGTTTCCGTTATGATATCAAGTAGAAATTGACAGAAATATTGAAGGCAATGTAGCAAGGGTAGTATTGTAGTGACATCTCACTGGTGCAGTAGGAGAGTTATGTTTACGATTGTCGAAAAACTCAAGCAGAGATAATAGCCACACCACGCACATACACCTCGCTCACTTACACACGTGCGTGCGAACACACACAGATGACATCACACAAACACACCATCTACACCACAGACCACATCACACATGTATAGAGGTGCTGCTTGGGCTGCTGGGACGTTGCCCTGAGTGAGAGTAAGTCTGAAATCCTCTCCGGGTACCACCACTATTGTGTTCATGTATGGATGTGTGAGTGAATGATCCGGCAACGCCTGGCAACTCGGGTTTCACACCTCGACACATAGCATTAAACCGATGTAAGCTGTCCTTAAATCAATCCTCCATCGTGATTTGTGTAACATCTGTTGTTTGTTCTCGAGTGGGGATCATTGGAAGGATTACAACATCAATATTAGATCTATGTTCATAGTCATGCTTTGCTTTTGTACAAGGAAAAACATTTTTGTGTGGAAGCTCACCTTGTCATGCTCCATGGTAGTCGTGGTAACGAGGTTTCACCTGGCATATCAACACGTTTTTTATTATGAAACAGCACTTCTGTATTTGGCTGACATTAATAATATACAGGAACATATTAAAAATCTTCAGAGTCCATGATGATGGTGAGTTAGTGATTCACAGGAACAGGGAACATTTGAATATAGAACCAGCATCAACACTCAACCTTGCTTCTCTGAATCAGTATTGACATAGCATTGTTAGACATATTTCACAGTAATTGTCATTGCAGGACTGTTTTTCAGTTCATTCAAATTAATATGAGGGACTGATGTATCTTGTTTTCTGAGCCGACACGTATGAAGGTGCTGTTGTTGTCTCCCCCTTGCTATGGGTTATGTGAAATGAGAAATCTGATACCTACTTTGGATACCACCTCCACAGTGTTCATGTGTGACTGGTTGTGTGAAGTGTCACTGTGTGACTTGTCCATGTGTGATTGACATGTCTGTGTGATTGTGTGACATGTCCAGTTGATGGGGATGTGTCTATGTGTGACTGGTTTTGTGAAGTGTCACTGTGTGACTTGTCCATGTGTGATTGACATGTCTGTGTGATTGTGTGACATGTCCAGTTGATGGGGATGTGTCTATGTGTGACTGGTTGTGTGAAGTGTCACTGTGTGACTTGTCCATGTGTGATTGACATGTCTGTGTGATTGTGTGACATGTCCAGTTGATGGGGATGTGTCTGTGTGACTGGTTGTGTGAAGTGTCACTGTGTGACTTGTCCATGTGTGATTGACATGTCTGTGTGATTGTGTGACATGTCCAGTTGATGGGGATGTGTCTATGTGTGACTGGTTGTGTGAAGTGTCACTGTGTGACTTGTCCATGTGTGATTGACATGTCTGTGTGATTGTGTGACATGTCCAGTTGATGGGGATGTGTCTATGTGTGACTGGTTGTGTGAAGTGTCACTGTGTGACTTGTCCATGTGTGATTGACATGTCTGTGTGATTGTGTGACATGTCCAGTTGATGGGGATGTGTCTATGTGTGACTGGTGTGAAGTGTCACTGTGTGACTTGTCCATGTGTGATTGACATGTCTGTGTGATTGTGTGACATGTCCAGTTGATGGGGATGTGTCTATGTGTGACTGGTTGTGTGAAGTGTCACTGTGTGTGTGTGATAAAGGAGGTGACAACAGGGCTCCAGATAACGTTTCAACATCAGGAGTACTTACTGCTAAGTTTTTCAATATAGGAGTACTGGAAAACAATAAGAGTACATTTAGAGTACTGAATGGAATTTAATGGAGTATCAATAATCTTGTGTTTCGTTTCAAATAAGCACCACAACATTGCTACTCTTGTGTAAACAGGTCAATAAACGATAAAGCAATACTTTTTTTAGATAAATATGTCTGTAAATGAGTCTAAGACCGTACTCCATTGCTGTGGTGCGTATCTGCTACGTTTTCTAAATTATTTCCTAACGTATCGTGCTTGTTTTATATCCGTACATACGCCTATACGGCCCTTATCTGGAGCCCTGTGACAATGACAACACACTTATCCATGTACTTCCTGAGGTATGATAACATCCAGAAAGGTTTCCTCACGACCAGGTCAGCACTAGACTAATGACTTTCGTCTGGCACACCCAGTTGTTTTTGTTCGTTAGAAGATAATGAGATTAGAAATTCTGATCTTCATAAAAGTTGAGTTCTGATTAAGTTTGCCAGGCCGGCCAATTACCTGATCAAATTGGTCATGTAGATGTATCTGGTACAATAATGCCACACCTCACAGTTTACAAGTCTCTTTGTTGAGGTGAAGTCATCCCTGTGGGTTTAAAGATCTATAATCTGTGTAGCACACATACCAGTATATTGTACCATGTGGTACGATGTTCCATGTTCCTGTGCTATGTTAAGTTGCCCATGTTTATGTGCAAGTGCTGATTTAAATGTAATAAAGTTTTATATCAAACCAAGTGCAGTTCATGTTGTAGTTGGGTGTAGAGTCGTGCCCCTTGTTACAATCATTGCTGTAACTACAGTACATGTCATCTGTGTTACCAGAGCCGTAACCATCTAAGCATACATCATCTGAAGCTTTCCTTGAACAGTTTTCTGAAATACAAGGAACCCCCTCCTTGAATCACTCACTCACTCATGTCTGTCTGGGGGCTGAGTCTTGACGGGTTGGAATCAGCAGTGATGCCTCAATGGCTACCCTATGAGAATCCGAAGGTGCAAATCATTGTTGGTCTTGCTGTCAATTGCTGGTTTGTCTGTCGAGACAGTAGTATATGCGGGAAGCAGAGGCTAAACTGGAATATTCTTGAGTGGTTTTATTCTGAAGGGTGAATAACCATCATAGTGGGATGAAACCAAAATATTTCTTAAATACTGCTGACACAAAACAACTCACAGTGAATTTCAGCGACCACTATGAATATTAGCAAGGCCCTGCCAACAAAAGACATCACAGCAACGTATGACTTCTGTTGTGGATCCGATCACTCTGAGGAAGTCTAGCAAGACAGCAAACAGAAAGATTGCACTGATTTGATCCAGTGGAAAGACCTAACACTAATAAGGAGCTCCAGAATTCCTTCACAAAAGGGAAGGACTCGACTCCCAAAAATTAGTTTGAAAGGTTAGCTGGAGACCTTATACAAATACACGTATACCCAGAAAATGGAATGTGAGAAGACACACCAGGTTCGATTCTCCACGTGGGTCCCATGGTGAAACCCATTTCTGGTGTCCCCTGTTATGTTGTGACGTCATTCAGACGAAAGTCACAATAACGTTCCAATTACGTCAGCTATACCTTCTTGTACATTGGTGCGTGTGAACTGATATTTGTGATAATACACTTGTGATTTACATTGAATGGTATTTTTTACTCAATGTTAATCAATGGACGAACTACCTAAAATGTAAACCACGCTGATCTGATTTTGTTACAGTTCATAATTTGTAAGCAGGAGTTTATTTTTTATTGTTTTCAACAAGACCCATTGGATATTTGAAATGTTACTTTTATTATCAGTAACGTGACAAGGTGTCCATGTAACGGGGCACCAGGTTCACCTGGGCTTGTTCCTGCTGGGCCTGACAAGGTTGTTGATCATCCTGCCTCGTTGCAGTAGTGGCAGCGTCTGACGTGATGCGTAGATCCTCGAAGTGATCTGACTCCGGTTCCGAAAAGACTGTCGTCTGTTCCACTTGGTCCTTTCGTTCAGCTCGGGAGAAGCATCAGTGGGGGCACATCTCAGCCTCTCAGTGTCTGCGGCTGTGCATTCAGACTTGTCTTTGTCTTTCTCTGTCGCAGCACACCCTGGAGTGTCTTTCTCAGTATCAAGCAAGGTCTGCAGGATCTCCATGTGCGGCTTTGTCGGAGATATTGGCTGCTTGCCCCCTGCGATCGAGTCCCCACGACACATGTCAGCCTCACCCACGGCTTCCCCAGAGGCGAGGCGATGGGATTTGCTTGTCTTCTTCCCACGCGGCTTTCTGTCATCATCAGATGGAAAAGCGACCCTCCGATTGCGTCCAAATTTCTTGCCACCCTCACGTTCCCCCAGCCGAATGACAGTTCCTTCCACGCTGTCCAGTTCTCCATCCTGGCTGCAGTCTGCACTCATATTCCCCAGACTCACGCTCCCCTTTCCCCTGGCCCCCTCGCCATCAAATGCCCGGAGTGTAAATGTGTCTGTCCTCCACGTGTTAGTTGAGCTGACTTTAATCTCACGCTCCCCTTTCCCCTGCCCCCTTCGCCATCAAATGCCGGGAGTGTAAGTGTCTGTCCTCCACGTGTTAGTTGAGCTGACTTTAACCTCCTCGAGCCGACCTGTTCACTCGCATTCTTGTTGGTGTCAAATATTTTATACTTTGAGATGTCATGACTCTGTATCTTCCTGTGGTAGAGGTCGTTTCGTATTTGACTCTCACTATCGCTGGACCGGAGAGGAATGAGGGGAGTGATATCAGGGGCTAACCTACCCATCTCTGTATCCTTACCATCGTCCATCTTGTACATATGACAATGCCGGGAGCCGGGGGCACTCCTCAAGCACCTGCCACTGCGAAGCCTGTCTAGTCCAGGCTCGGGACCGTCCATGTGAGAAGCGTCAGTCATCCGTCCACTACCTTTCAACTGACTCTCTGCATTATCCACAAGGCAGCAAGCAATGCACGCACTCCTGTTGTGACGCTTGGCCATGTGATCCGTAGTCTCTTCGTCCTCCCTCGAGGATTCTGATGTTGGCTTGAACATCACGTGCGTGGTAAGATCCGTCGAAAGATTGATGTCTACAAAGCTGATGCCATTGTGTCCAGTTTCTGTGACGTCAGAGGTTTCCGAGTCTGACGCCATCATGGAATCTGATGGCGTTGGCCGGGCAATCATGCTCGCAGAGCTGTTGGTGACTGACGTCATTACAGTGGACGTTTCCTGTCCACAACCAGGCGCTTCATTTTGTACACGATGAGGCTCATTTAGGTTTTTTAGTTCTTCGCACACTGCGCCCGATATCTGGTCCAAGGGACACATATCTTCTGGATTATGGTCATTGGGTCCGACATTGAACTTCACCTCGAGACAAACGCTGGGATTACCAAAGACCGCACCTTTACCAACTCGTAGAGTGTCACGAAGCGACCTAGGGGCAAGGTCAAGGTCACTGTTGCACACGTGGCAATCGGGTCCATGTTCACAATGGGAAGGATTAAAGACATCACAGATTTCCTCGTCTGTCAGTTTTGAGTTGGACCCAGATGATGCCAGAAAGGACCTCCACCTGTTGGAGGAAAATATGATATTATAATCTCTAATGTGATCCTAGTATGAACGGATATTATTTTCAGCATATCCCTGACTGTAATGGATTTATCCAGTCAATTTATTGTTCAGTTGCTATCTGTTTGAGCTGCGCCCCACAGCAACGTAACGTTAGCAACGTAGCCAAAAAGCATAGAAATAGTTCTTCTCTATTTCTATGCTAAAAAGTGATTGACGTCACACATTGTTCATGACGTCAGATTTGTGCGTGATGTCATTTGGTTGACTGAGCTGATGTCATCAATATGCGTTAATATTTTTCGAAAGGGAAAATAGGTATAGATTAAGTTCGCATTATTTATTTAGTGAAATTTGGACTTGACTCGGATTAGATAATAGGTGTATCCCATAGCTCATAAGTTGCTTTATTACTCACCCGTTGAAGATATCACTGTTTAATAATTTTACAATGTTATTACACATTGTGTAATGTTTCTATATACTTCACATGACTGCTTCTTCTGGCTGGATATCGTCTCTATCGTTTCACGAGTCTCTAGACACGGATGGACCGCCTCCGTGGTGTAGTGCCTGCCTGGCGCTCGGCATTAAAGGGTACAACAAGGACTGGTCGGCTCGGAGTCAGTATAATGTGTCTGAGTGGGGTATTCATGCTTCACTACGGCATGGTATCTCAGTGAGCTAGCACTATAAAACCAGCTTCAGTCTGGGCTAGTACAAGCACCCGCACATACACATACATACGCATGCACGTCGTTATATGAGCGAAATATTCTCAAGCACGACGTAAAACCCAATTTCACCTCACCTCACCTCACCTAGACACGGATGCAAACAGAAATTTCTCAGGTTACCGAGTGAGATTAGAAAACTATAACACGCATCGTTAGTAGAACTTCAGTCATCCTGAACATGTTAGAACGTGCTGGACGAGCCACTGTGGTTGCGTGACGTACCGGTCAATATCCAGGAACAGGTCTGACGTAACTCTCTCAGGACGAGTCAAATCTTCATCCGACACACTTCCCCGACCTGCAGTTCAATTATTCATCAGTTACTCCTTATCATACCATTCAGCATCTCTGCGTTACAAAAACTGATCAAACATAGAGTCGTAAGAGAATATATTCGTGACGATGACTCGGGTCTGCTACATAACAATCACAAAATATGCGCCACAGAACTATCCATCAATACTGTCTGTCTTCAGTCCATGTTCAATCAATCAATCTTTATTTCAGTACTTAAAAAGGCCACAGGCCTGTAGTATATTTAGAGTTTACATGAGTAGATAGAAGTCATTTATAAATTCTTTTCTGCAACAATACTTTTTCTTAATCTCATAGCGAAATAGATGTACATTGCCAGATTCTGTAATATTGATGTGGTAGTATCTGTTAATAGTGAAATTAATGTTCTTACACTTGGATGCTTATAATAGTATGGCTTTAAGTAGTTCGTTCGTAGAGTCGTATAAACAGGACAGATTAGAAGGAAATGTAGTTCATCCTCAACAGTACTCATATTACATAACTGACATATTCTGTTTTCTCTTTGCATACCTGCCAGTTTCAATAAATAATTCATGGGAAGAGCAACGAAAACGAGAGAGAGCTATACGGAACTTCTTTACGCCGATTTTTGCTAAATAGTCTTCAAAACGTATGTCCGATTTCCATTGATTATAGTATAAACATTTTGTGGATAGAAGTAGTGATTCCGACCAAGACTGGAAATAGATATCTTTCATTCTTTGTGTAAATGATATGATAAAATTGGTATGCAACTGAACATTGTGATCACACCACACATAACCATGACCAGTTTTGTACAACAACTCCCTAATATCACTCACCCAATTTCTTTTCCCATTTTCGTCATACAATTTCATCATATCATAACATTTTTTCGGAAACCTACGGCATGGCATATGCAGTAATCTTACCCAATACTTTATGGCTTTAATGGAAGAGTATATAAACATGGGGAATCTACCTAATTCTCCGTAAACCATCCTATTACATGTGTTCGGTTTTACACCAAGAAACTTTTTGCATGCATATAAATGAACTCTTTCAATACTGTCATATTGTTGTAATCCCCATATTTCAGAGCCACATAGAAGTATTGGACTTATCTTCATATCGAATATTTTAAAGAATGTGTTAAAGGACATTTCACCCAACGATCTCATATTTTACAAACACCGATTAAGATTATCAAGGCTTGTGCTGACGCTTGTTTTGTGTGCTTGGACCAGGAAAGGCTATTACAAAAATATACACCAAGATACTTATAAACACTGGTAGTTTTGAGTAGTTGCCCTTTATAATACCATTTTTCTAATTTAGAGAGCTTTCCACCTTTCTTAAAGACGATAATTTTGGTTTTGTCTCTGTTTACACACAATTTATATTGGTCAGAAAATTTGTCTAATTCATCTATTTGTTTCTGTAAACCGCTAACAGTAGTAGAGAATAGTACAATATCATCGGCAAAGAGTAGCAGAAATAATTGTATTGTATCTGGGTGTAGTTGAATCCCATTCGTACATGTGTCACATATTTGCATTGCTAATTCATTAATGAAAAACGTAAAAAGGAAAGGGCTTAAAATACAGCCTTGTCTAACACCTAGTTCACTAATGAAAGTCCATGTTATGTACATGAGTAACTATCATCTGAGCATTATGGTCGCTTTGTGGGACGGAGCCCATATACTCTCTGGATGGCATCAATACTTTGATCTATGCTTGTAAAATAGAATACTTCGAATATAATTGGGTTGTTTTCTAGTCAGATAACCTGTTTACCTCACTGTTTTCAGGCTATGAGATGAGATAAACATGTTATTTACCAAGAAAGGAAAACGTTCTATTTATAAAGTATTTTCCTACAAAACATGTCTTTGTCATATTGAGACGTGAAGTAATTCCGGTGTTATGATTGAGTTGTTCCAACGCCTAACCCTAACCCTAACCCTAAACCTTACCCTAAACCTAACCCTTACTCTAACCCTAACCCTAAATCTTACCCTTACCCTAAGTAAACTCCCGTGCCTTCAAAGATGGCGGAAGGTATCCGGTATTCTGTAGTCTTACAGTCAGCTTAATGTGCGAGAACATCCCGAAGTAATGCGCGTCTTGGACGTTTACCACTTTCGTTAAACGAAGCAGCACGGTCATGGTGCTGACAAACATAATTAGGGTGAACCGAGATTGGAACCCACGATCAAACGTTTCTGACTGAACCAGTTTTGAGCCTGCCTAAGGGACGCGACTTTGCTCAATACATCAGCTATCTCAGTAGATAACGTCAACTATTTGGTGTATATTGAAACGGACAATAGGCGACGGCGTGCAGACCCACCCTTCATTCCAAGTATCTCATCCGAAGGCATGTCTTTCGGGGAGAGGGAGTCAAATGGTCCGTGATGGTATGGTGGGAAGGGAAACGGCCACGAGTCATCTTCCAGGCTGCGGGTGTTGACACAATCGGAACCTTCCTTTTGGAGCCTTGACAACAGAACACAGTGTGATAAAAACATTGATACAGTAGCGCAGCACTAACATTTTAGAGGAGGTTGCCGTTACCAGTTTCAGCTTGATGTGGGAGAGTGAGTGAGAGAGTGAGTCTAGTTTTGTGCCGCTTTTAGCAATATTCCAGGAATATCACGGCAACGGTGAGGTGTGATGCTAATTTTTATGGAGAAGCACGTTCAATGTGAATGACACCACCACCCCACCCCCAACACACACACACACGTACGCACACACACTTATGTAAAGTAAGTGACACACACACACACACCTCCCCAGGGCAAAATGGGTGAACCCCCTCCTCCCCTCCTTTAAGTCACCTTCCCCAGCCACAATTTATGAACAGTCGCTAATACAAGTATATTGTTAAGCATAATTATGGAGCTGTTCGCGCTTACAGATAGTGAGGAGGACCTGTGTTGGAACATGACTGATTTATTGTTTAATGCCAAAGCTATATGGCGGCGGTCTGTAAATAATCGAGTCTGGACCAGATGCAATGACACTTATGACACACATGGGTTACTGAAGACCAATTCTAACCCGGATCTTCATGGGTATGTCCATGATGGTTCTCAGAATGTTTTGGAAGTTGGGATACAATACACGTGACAATCCAGTCAGCGAGCCAGATCACCCGATCCCGTTAATCGCCTCTTACAAGTATGGGTTGCTGAAGACCAATTCTAACCCTGATCTTCACGGGTATCGAACAATCAATATCATTTTCAGTCATTTCCATCACTGCCAATCATGGCTAAGCTTGGTCCATCATACGTCATACATGTAACCGATACTCGCTATGATCGTTCCATGTTTTTGTCAGCAAGTTTTGTACATGAAGTAAACGTGAAATGCTTGAGACCTGCCAAACGTACCTGTATGTTTCTCCTCCAGTCTCCTTTGCTGGTGAATGGACTCGCTTCTGGTCCGTAACAGACGTCTTGTTCTCGCCCGCCTTCTTGGGCGAGTCCAAACTTACTGTACTCCGAGGGGTAGTGGGTGGTGCTTCTGGCGAAATTGGTCGACGATCTTCTTCTCGATGTAGGCTGATGCGACTTGTCTTCTTCTTCTTCCCAGTGGCCCGCGACGTCTTCTTCACTGGGGACTTGTGCCGCGGAAGGTTTGTCGCGTTTCTCTTGGGAGACACCGATGTTCCGGAGGCAACTCGTGGCGACGGTCTCTCTGGGGCTGCAACAGAAGTCGGGTTATACCAACACAACAGTCGTAAAACAAATGAATCAGTAACCGACTAATGTTTCAGGGTCCCGAAGCATTCGTAACTTTACGACCTATCATAACTCTTTACTACATCATTGGCTTACGTGCAACGAACGCTTTCTGGATAGGGTATCTGGCCTCCGCTCCATTCACTAAGTAACGGAGACAATCTTCAACATGGATCTTGACATCCAAGGATCAGTATTGCTTTCTGATCTAAGATTCGACCTGCCTTTCAGCAGATCCTTGTAGACTACAGAGCATACTGCCGCTGCCAGACACTACTGAGCCACGCTGCAGATTGAGCTTATTGGGATAACCCAGTAATCCTGAACCTGAGTGTGTACAACTACATAATTACCGAGTCGTCTGTAGCTCTTACATTTATGGCTTTGGTTCTTCTTTGTGAGACCAGACAGCTTGGCCTTGAGGACCTCCCGGGTGCTGATGTCCGGTGTTGGGGCACTGTCCAGTGACTTGGCGGCGTCGTGTGGGTCGACATGATCGTGCAGTCCCTGCTGCTGTTTCTCCTCCATCATCCCCAGCATCGGCTGTGTATCTGCTCTAATGTGTTTGCCAACTACACGTGGCTGGCCAATAGGCACATCCGGCTTCTTCACACATTCTAGAGGGGCGTGGTTGGCGGCGGCGGTTGCAATGCGCGCCAGAGTTGCTGCTGATGACCCTCCCCCAAATCTAGCCCACAGAACGCTGTGGGTGGCGCATTCTTCCTGGCGCTTCTTGGAAGGGGACGGGCGATATACCCAACCTGAAACATAATTCATAAAACTAACATCACACCCAGAAGTCTTGTCCTGAATAACCCCTACCCGTTACATACACTGAAGTGAGAATGAATTGGTTTGGTGTTGAACCGTAGTTTGTGTATATCACTACATGTCGGCTTGATGTAGTAGGGAACCCTGATGCAGGTCGGAGACGGCTGGTGAAACCCACGAGCACCGCTGTGGTACTAACAAACCTAGAAACATAACTAGAGCGAATCGCGACAAGAACGCGTGTACGTTTCCCCTACATCTAAGGGACAAAACTCAAAAATTACACTGCCCCAAACGCCACTCGTGTCCCATCGTACAACACGTTATCTGGTCAACAGCAGTTTCGTTACTGTTCGCTACTGGCCTACCCGGGTATGCAGTGACTTTCCACATCTAGGATTTACGACACCCCCAGGGCGACAAAAGCTTTGTGAAAACTGACATTTAAGGGAATCTGATTGTTGCAGCCTGTGCCAACACAAAGACTCACGGTATACGATGTCCTGAAGTCATGAATAGACTGCGCTATTCTGTCTACCATTGGTTTGACTGCTATACAGACCAAGTTATGATAATGCTGAGTGTGGCGTAAAACAACATTCAGACACTCCATTATATCGTAAATATTATGCAACACATAGATGTCCGGTGGTCCTGGCACAGTCAGGCTTGTAAGGCTCATCATCAGCTCAGGTACCCAGACAGCGAATGGAAGTTCTCCCAAGAAGTGACAAGTGAAGGTCCGGGTTAGAATATTGATCTTCAGTAACCCATGCTTGTCGTAAGAGGCGACTAACGGGATTGGGTGGTCAGGCTCGCTGACTTGGTTGACACGTGTCATCGGTTGCGCAGATCGATGCTCATGCTGTTGATCACTGGATTGTCTGGTCCAGACTCGATTATTTACAGACCGCCGCCATATAGCTTGAATATTGCTGAGTGCAGCGTAAAACTAAACTCACTCACTCTCCCAAGAAGCGCGGCCTAGTCGAACACCGACATTATTATTATCAATGGTATTATGTTCTGTTATTTTTACAAGGTATACAAACCAGGGAACTCCTTTTTGTGCTGGTTCTTTATCATGTCGGCCTCGTCGTAGTACGGCTGTTTTTCTTCCTGACTGAGACTGTTCCACACTTCGCCCAGTTTAACGCTGATCTGGGAGTTGGTGTCGGAATTGAACTGCGACGCGAGCTTGGCCCGATAGATGCGGGCCCACACCATGAATGCGTTCATTGGACGCTTGACGTTGCCGCTTTTGTTCCTGAAGCTGGAGCCGGGTGTCCGATAGCGGTCGCCTGTGCCTGTGGAAAAACAGCGATTGTTAAGTTATGATTAAAACAATACGTAAGATGGAGCAGAATGGTTATATTTACAATAAACTGACTGACTGAGTTTGGTTTTACGCCGCTTTTAGCAATATTCCAGCAACATCACGGCGGGGACACCAGAAATGGGCTTCACACATTGTACCCATGTGGGGATTCGAACCCGGGTCTTCGGCGTGACGAGCCAACGCTTTAACCACTACGCTACCCCACCGCCCCATTTACAATAAAGCAGGTATTGGCAGGTGGAGTAGAAAGGTCACTCTTAAAATTACAGTCATGTGTAAGGGTTAATATTCATTTTAGAGGTTTAATTATACCAAACCACACCAATGCAGGAGGATAATTGTTTAGGCTTATCTTAATTTGTAATGCATTGCATCTAGACTAATCCTCGTTCTGTTAATGAGCAGCATCAAACCCATGGCGGATTGGTAACTGGTATTTTGGCAGATATCTAATGAAAGCAAGCACAAGTAACTGTTTCAGTACTCCGAATAACTATATGCTGTCTAGTATAACTGTCATATATATACTACCCATCAAAGGTTTAAACTCACTTAAAGCACCCTCTCTCTCTCTCTCTCTCTCTCTCTCTCTCTCTCTCTCTCTCTCTCTCTCTCTCTCTATATATATATATATATTATATATATATATATAAATATATATATATATAATTAGATAACCAACTGCAAACTTTATGCGGATGAATTGCACGAGGATCATGCATCAAATTGCTGAAGAGCATGTGTAAATATCGTGCATGTGAACAGCTGCGTTTTGGTGTAAAGTTTTGTTAAGAATTCGCCAATTTTCACTGAGTTTCATCATTTATTGAACTCATGACAATGATATTTTCACCGTTACGAATTTTCCCGTATTTGTTTTACAATACATCAGTTCATGTGTAAACAGTACCTTTAAACACTGAACAGTATGAAATATTTTGCAAACTCTAGACAAGAACAGTTGACTGAAGTAAGTGGCTACATTTACACTAGTGAGTCTAAACGTTTGATGGGTAGTATACTTCCGTATAATCGATTTGTTTGTTAGTTCAACGCTGCACTCAGCAATATTCCAGCAATATGGCGCCGGTCTGTATATAATCGAGTCTGGACCAGACAATCCAGTGCAGCATGAGCATCGATCTACACACTTGGGACACGATTATGTTTGTCAACCTAATCAGAGAGCCTGACCATCCAACCTCGTTAGTCGCCTCTCACGACAAGTATGGATTGCTAACCCGGATCTTCACGGGTACCGAACAATCGGGGCACCAAGTGTGAAGCATATGGACGACTGTATTTAAGATGCTTAAATACAACTGACAAATGTGCTAATTTTCAGCCATTTCCATCATTGCTATCCATGGCTAAGCTTGGTCCATCAACGACTACAGACAAAACGCCTTGATAGCCCATGTTTTCTACCTTCACACAAAACATAAAATAATCATGTTAACGACTGGGCCTACCCGGTACCAAATCCTTGGCCCGGTCCGATGAGACGGATACCGCTTCCGGGGACTTTTGACTTCCTGTGACCTTCATCCCGGATGTTGGACTGCCTTTGACTGGTGTGTTGTCATCCTGCGATGGGATGCTCTGAGAGTTAGCTGCAATTACTGGAATCTTGTTGAGATACACCACGTGGCCAGGCTGAGTTGTTTTGGTGGCAGTCTGCTCGACACTATGTATGGGAACTAAGTTAATGTCTGAGAGTTTTTGTCCAGGCTGAAGGAACACAAAACGTACGTCCGGTTTTCGTGGGGCCGGTGCTATCGACTGAATCTTAGATACATCCTGATCAGGTGTCTTTTTGATTCCCATTTGCTGTCCTATAATTCCATTACTAAAGTTGGATTCTCGGGAGGCTCTCGGGTTCACTGACTCAGAAGCTAAATGCAAACCACTGTCGTTGGAACCCATGTTTACACTTCTCTGTGTCGGCGAATCATCGGAAATATCCATCTTTGTATCTGAGTCGTCCGATGATAGTTGTAAATCAGTCTCAGGAATCTGATCTGCCTTCAGTTTCTTTCCGTTGAATGTTGCTGTTACTGTTTTATCCCCTCTTCCTCGCCACGGAACAGAAAAAGTCTTATTCGAGTTGACGGAACGTTTAGCAGCGCTAACTGCGTTACCCATTATAGAAGTATAAAAAATGTGAGAGATGAAGGCGATGATAAAGATGGCCGTCTGTCTTATGAACTGCCGTTGTCTATGACGTCAATCGAATTGTGGTGACGTCACTGCTATAGCAACGTCACAGCAATTGTTCATTTCAAGGTATCGATACGAACTAATGCAATCAGCAATTTATACTGATGGCAGAAAGTAATGACATGATAATGTCACGCTTGTTACCGTAACTCTGATATTGTTATCCTCGAACACTTTTATACATTACTGACACGCTTTCGTCTTACGTAAATACGTCCTGTCTATAGATTATATTTATGCAACAAATGTTTTTGAATAGTCATCATGCATGCGATACCTACTAACTCAGCCTCTTTACCTATGGGGCGGTGGGGTAGCCTAGTGGTTAAGGCGTTGGCTCGTCACGCCGAAGACCCGGGTTCGAATCCCCACATGGGTACAATGTGTGAAGCCCATTTCTGGTGTCGCCCGCCGTGATGTTGCTGGAATATTGCTAAAAGCGGCGTAAAACCAAACTCAGTCAGTCAGTCAGTCAGTCTTTACCTATGTAGTTAATTGTATGGAATCATCAGCATTCATTTTGTGCATGTAATTATTGTGTATATTTTTGTGAATTTTGTAATATTCATTTTGAGGCCGTTTTTGATACAAAAAGAATTTCCTCCGGCGTAAGATAGTTATATCGTATCTTATCTTATCCTTTGTTATGTTATCTTAGATATTGTCAAGTGGAATGTCTAATTCCAGCGCAAACCAGGGTAGCGTAAATCACTGTTAAAAACATTGGAGTTACAGCAGCAGTGGATTGACACTCGCAGAATGTTTGTTTTCATTGTTGTTTACCTCTTAGATGCCAGGGTTTTTTCTGACTCACATATTCGTAAGGTTTGAGAATTGCGCTCCCGCGGCCCTGGATCTATCTACGACTATACAATTGCACAGATATGTAGAATATTAAATTTCCTGTCCGATGATATGAATTCAAGTGCAAATACGTACGCTGTTTGAAAAATCGACACTGCTTAGTGTTGTTGTAAATTTGGTTATGCGTAAAAAAAACCACTAAATTTTTCCGCTTTTTATCGTACCCCTGTAAAAGCACTGTACGATTTTTCAATTTTTTTCTTCATCTTTACGGAAAGTGTGAGCGAACAAAATACAGCCTGATATCTGAACGACATAAGTATACATCAAATTTATGTGTGTGTTTATGTATAACGTTATACATTCAATATCAAAATGGCCCGCCATAAATGGCGACACATTGATTTCCCTCGATGACGTCAAACGACGACAAAGAGGTCACACTCGCATAAAGACGAAGGGGCATAACTCCGCTATGCTTTACTCGGGTCACTTGGAGAGAGTTGTGGATAGGGACACAAAAGCTTCGTAAGGTTTCGTTTACGATGAACCAAACTATTTCAGTACAAAGAACCACAGTGATTGAATTGTATTCGACTTCCAAGTGAAGGTTGAATCGGATTGATAAAAGTGATTAACGCCGCACTCAGCAATATTCCAGGTTTCTGTTAATAATCGAGTCTGGACCAGACTTTCCAATGATCAGCATCATGAGCCTTGATCTACACAATTGGGATACGATGACATTCAGTTGGCGCTTTGATGGATGAGATTTTCACCCTTTCAGCCGCCCCCATGACAGTAAACCGTTCTTTCATACCGATAAAAATCAGTTCCCTTCCATCAGTACTCTATTTCTGATATATTATATTTTAGAGCTCGTAGTTGCTTTTCAGCAGCAAAGAAAACGGCCGTAAAATCTGAGTCAGTCCATCAGCTCTTTCACTCTTATTTGATGGAGGAGATATAGTAGGTCTTTGCCTATACTGATTTTCTTTTGTTGATGTCTGTTTTATTTCAGTTTATGGTAAGTACTGTTCTTGAGAAATTTAAAATAATGAAGTTATCATCATATTTTATGAATATCAGCTTCATTAAATAACTTTTTATCCGCCCTGGCATGTAATGCGGGGGGATATAGTCGTCGCCTCGTCCGTCTGTCCGTCCGTAATCATTTTGTTTCCGGAGCATAACTCCAAGACCGTTCGATATTTTTCAACAAAAATTGTAGATATATCAAACAGAACCTAAGGTGGTGCCTTTTGCTATTTACAGATTTTTGTCATTTTCATTTTTCTCGGTTTCCATGGAAACGTTTTGGTCTTAGTCTTAAAGGTAAGGGGGGCTTCGTTTCCGGAGCATAACTCAGAAACCGTTCAGTATTTTTCTGCAAAACTTGGTACATACATCAAACAGAACCTAAAGTGGTGCCTTTTGCTATTTACATATTTTTGTGATTTATTATTTTATTGGTTTCCATGGAAACGATTCGGTCTTAGTCTCAAAAAGGAAGGGTGGGTTTCGTTTCCGGAGCACAACTTGAAAACCGTTCAATATCTTTCAACAGAACTGGGCAGATATATGAGACAGATCTTGAAGTGGTGCCTTTTGCTATTTACAGATTTTTGTCATTTTTATTTTTCTCGGTTTCCATGGAAACGATTTGGACTTAGTCTCAAAAGGGAGGGGTGGGTTTCGTTTCTGGAGCACAACGCGAAAACTTCTTAATATCTTTCAACAAAACTTGGCAGATATGTTAGGCAGATCCTAAAGTGGTGCCTTTTGCTCTTTACAGATTTTTGGCATTTGTATTTTTCTTGGTTTCCATGGAAACGATTCGGACTTAGTCTCAAAAGGGAGGGGTAGGTTTTGTTTCCGGAGCACAACTCGAAAACTTCTTAATATCTTTCTTCAAAACTTGGCAGTTATGTGAGGCAGATCTTGAAGTGGTACCTTTGCTATTTACAGATTTTTATTTTTCTCGGTTTCCATGAAAACGATTCTGACTTAATCTCAAAAGGGAAGGATAGGTTTCGTTTCCGGAGCACAACTCAAAAACTTCTTAATATCTTTCAGTAAAACGTGGCAGATAGGTGAGGCAGATCTTGAAGTTGTGCCTTTTGCTATTTGCAGATTTTTGTTATTTATGTTTTTCATGATTTCCATGGAAACGATTTGCATTTAGTCTAAAATCAAGCTGGACTTTAAGTAACTGTCAGATGATTTGTTCTTTCAAAGATGTGGGGGCCGGGGGGATATGTCATCTTCTGATGACTCTTAATTGTTGCTTTTGTGTACAGCTTGTTTTCATGCCAGGCTGTGTGCGATACTTTAACCAGGTGACTAGCAAACGCTAGATGGGATGTAGGTGTATTTCCTGATCAATCAAGCTTTGAAGCTTTGGTATTTTCCTTTTTGGTTAGGAACATAATCATTTTGTTCTACTTTTAAGTCTATTGTCTCTCACACTTCACTCTTCCCTAAGCAGCAATCAAATGGTTTAAAAGCACGTTAATAAATTTGAAACTTTTAACATGCAAAAACATCATCTTACCTATGCCTGACGTTTCCACTGTATATAGCGTTCATCTGGAATAGGTTTTAGTTATATATTGGTATTCATTTGTGACACTGTTGTATTCCACTCGTCCTGTTTACAGTCAGTAGATGGTGTGCTAGTATATGTGTATATACGGAGACTCAAGCGTAACAGGAAAGCAGCCATTGTTGCCGGAATAATCCACAGCTTGTTAAGTGAGTGAGTTTAGTTGCCGTTTTGAGCAATATTCCAGCAATATCACGTTGTACCCATGTGGGAAATCGAACCCGGGTCTTACGAGCGAACGCTTTTACCATTTAGGCTACAACACCGCCCCCACAGCTTGTTGAAATAGAATATCTGGAAGCGTTTTCATAAAGGGTCACATGTTTGTGATCTCACAGTAGATCTGAGATCAGATAAACCAGCTGTTGCATGAAGTTTCACCATAGTCGCTGTTGGGTGAATGTTACTATCACTGACATCATTGACATTGTCACTGCTGTTCTGATATTTTATACTACAATGAAATTTATATTGTCACTCTATTTTGTGCTGCCAGTTTAATTCGTCTGTAGTTATTTGTAGTGACTTGTAAACCTAGTTCAGTTTGCATACAAGTGTAATTGATGTAATAGCCGTAATATTCTTGACTGCGGCGTTGGAAAATCTATGAGATATAATGACAGTCGCAACAATATGGAACGAGGATTGTCTGTCGTCGTGGAACGCTGTTCATGCATCAACCACTTGTTGCCATGTCCCGGTTATTTGAAGAATCGTGACAACTGGGTTATCGCTGGACGATAGGAAGTAAGCCGGGAACGACATGTCTTTACTTGGCTGGGCGATCCCTTACTTCACGGTGCATGTAATATATTTTTATTCATTCTGATCGGCCTGTAATCACGTGACGAGTCATGTGACATCTAGCGACAGGTGTCGCTGGTGTGTCAGTCACATTTGTAAGTACATAAGTAAGATAGTATAGGCTACATTGCTATTTTGTATTATCCATAAGTACATACTACTATGATACCCTCGGAATAATGCTGTGTTGTGACTTTGGCGATGTGATTAACAAATTTCACCTTTGAAATTTTGTGATATATATATTCACTATTTAACTTTCAGTTGTTTGTAATGAATGGTCATAGTTTACCTAAACTACACTTGCTTCGGTCCGTAATACTGTTCTATTTTTTGTAATCAATTTGCCTTTTCCTACTTGTACAACTCGAACCGCACGGGGCGCCACCAAAAGAGGTCACGTTATCAAGAGAATCATGTTAACGTTTCTAGATTTCTAACCAACTAAGAAATAAAATATAACCTACCTTGTCTGTTTTCAAAACGTTATGAGGGAAGCAAGAATAACATTACATCTGGCCCTCGCCACCCTGATGTCAACACTTAAACACCTATCTCTACCTATAACGCAGTCATATGTCAATTTTAATGTAAAAAGATTAATACAATACATCTGCCGAAATAACAACGTGAATAGCTCTCGTAATCAGTCATCATCAAGTGGTGAGTAAGACCAAGGTTGGGTTTAACGCCGCATTGTACATCACCTGCGTATTCCCTACCAGTCCAGTTTGAGAGTCAGCTCAAACGAAACGGACCGATGCCTGTAGACCAGTAATCATAAGT